GGACATCACTTCGTCAGCTACATCATCATCCTTACGGAACTTCGTGCTACCACAGCAACGAGCTGTGGAGTGTTTTGCACACTGCATGAACGCATGTAGTTTCGGACGAGCGAGCAGTACTTTGTTTCAGTGCATCTTGTCTATTCTCTGAGTAAAGGTTATTGCTGACCTTTACTAATTAAGTACCACGCCATGAAGACGTATGGTGGAACAGGTATAGCTCCACCGTTCTTGACCTCGACACTAGATTGAGGTGAGTGGTCAGCTTCACGCCTCTTCTTCCTTAACCCAGAGGAATGAACCCCCGGAACCCACTGTGTAGGAGGTTAAGTGGGCCCCAAAGCCAGTATGGACGTTATGCAGAAGAGAAAAATCTCTTGCCTCTGGTCTACAATTGACTATTCGCGCGTGACATTCGTGGGAGATGGCGTTGAACGTCGGCCTCAACGCATCATTCGATAATACGTACGACTGCAAAGGAAGACAGGAGAAAGCTGGGGAATTTTGAGGTCGACCGTCATATAAACTCGGCCTCTGTGCAATTTAAAAAACTGACAGTCAGAAATCGAAGTCCTCGTCGGATAAGAATTACTGGACAGCGATGCAACTGCCGCTTATCTTCGGCCCACATTCCATGCCTCCTTTCAGCCGGCGCCAGTCACGGCCTCGCAGCTGATAAAGACTGCCCCATTTCTCCTTCCTCACACACGCACTTAACGAGACCACAAGAAGCCATGAAACAGTAAGAAGCGCCCTCCACAGACATCAATGCCGGGATAAGTGTAACATTTAAACCCAAGGCCGAGGCGACAGGGCAGGCAAACCAGGTGGCCACCTTGGGGCGACATATTCCATAAACACTCTTCTCTTGCATGTGTATCGTGACAATCAACGCATGATACGCAGCCAGGCACACAAAACAAGTCATAATAATTCGTCGTCGAAAAGTCCGGAATTTCTGTGTCTTTTTGACGAAGTTTTAATAAATCTTGTTTTAATGGTGAGAAGTGGGGGGGGGGTCCAGCCGCCTGGGGTGGTATCCAGACGAGCACGGGCCTTATTTAAACCTCAGCGTTTAATGGGGCATTTATGTCATTACGATAAAGGTAAAGTTGTCCCTCTGCTTAATTCATTCAGCACTACGCCATGAAGGCGTGTGGGGGGAGTGGATGTATAGATCCATATTTTCTTGACCTCGGCGCTAGATGGAGGTGAGTGGTCACTTTACGCCCGGGCCGCTTTACGTGATTACGATAACACCATAAAGGATTGGAACAGTTCACCTGCTGACATACCAGCGTCTTTCCCCTGTAAACTAAACACTTTCAGAAAAAGGGTTAGGAAAGCCGTTGCAAGTACAGAGGCCTTAGGCGGAGTTAAATGAAACAAGTGAAATAATGTGAAGTGTCTTTGTTCGAGTGCAGTGAAAGGAACACGAGCACGTGCCTTTTTATAACTTTACATGTTTGGATTTGCACTGTGTGTACCTTGTTTATTGTGTTTATGTATTTTGTTTTGTATTGTTCCCTTATCTTATGGACTTTCCTTGTCTGTATCAGTGCAAGTTCTACTGCCACCGGGTGAACACCAAATTGCAGTAAAATAATAATAATTCTTTTCTGCGTTAAATAAAAATTCCGTCGTGTACTCAATTACAAACAAATTTATAATAAAATAAAATAGAATATACACAAAGCCCGCAACAGGGACACACAGAAACTACAACAGCCGCAACAGGGTGCAATGACAGGTCATGAGAATGAACTAAACATTGCCGTGCATGAAAGGAGCACGGTTAACAAGTGCAGTGGTCCACCCAAAATGAAAATAACCTGATGATGGCCCATATAAGGCCGAAACATGTTGTAAAAAAGCCGAAAAAGACATGTAAAACTACAGACGTTTAAGAAATTCTGATAATCACTTTTAATGCATAAAATATACTTTTGATGTCCTATTGACATTTTAATGGTTTAACATCATAAAGTATCAAAATACAATTCTTAGTGGATGACATATTGTTGACGTCTTTTATATTGTTGCATTATTGACGTGTACTCTAATAATAAGGATAATGCCTCAATGCAACGGGATGGTGAAATATAATAATTAAAATAAGAGGTTTTGGGGAAACCCAATTCTCCATTCTGCATTGTGAAGGTACCACACACAAAAAATTACAAAATAAAGACTACACGGTTTAATGACTCATTCTGCGTATTATTTCAGCCAGTATACACATGCACGTAGTCTAATTTTGTCCAATGGGCCTATCACCTCGAAGAGACTGACACTGCTTCCACGTTCGTACATAATTCTTGACATACAAATCATATTTCATGAAGAATTTGCAAGTTTATACGGATTTCGCGCGGTAGACATATTTGTTTTACACTTGACGTAAAAGGTAAAGTAATGGTAAAGTTTTTCCTGTGCTTAACTAATTAAGCACTAAGCCATGAAGGTGTGTGGGGGAGTGGATGTATAGATCCACGTTAGAGACAAGCGGTCAGCTTCAAGCACCGGCCGCTTTACCCCCGGGGATAGAGCCCCCGTATACCCATTGGATAAGATGTTGGGTGGGCCCCAGAGCCGGTCTGGACGACGTGGAGAAAAGATTCTTGGCCCCACAGGGGCTTATGCAGCCCGTAGCAAGTCTCTATAACGACTACGCTACCCCCGCTCTTGACGTGATTAATCTTAAAGCAATTTACATCTTTTTGGAAGATACTGTAGCACAGACGATTAAGAACATGTCATCACAGAATATATTAAGCCATATTCACGAGCTTGTTCATTTAAATTCAAACTCTGTGCGATTAACAATAGGCTGACCATCTTCAACAAGTAACATCTTGCAACAATGACCAGACTGAGTTCACACTCTCTACGTAACTTGTTTACAGGTTCCTAAGCAAATAAGTTGTCTAAACTTTACGATACTAGACGCGTCCTCACAATCCAGACATGTTTAAACAGTCTTACTATAAAAGGCAATATTACACAAATATACAACACAGGTTTCGAGATCTTTCCACCGATAATGGACACCTTTCAAGAAAATGACAACAGATGACAGACACACAGACTACTGTTGGCAGGCCTACTTACCGGGAGACCGCCTCTGTGGTCTAGTAGTCAGAGTTCCTGGCTACAATTCCACAGGTCCGGGTTCGATTCCCGGCGCTACCACATATTTTCTGAGAAGTAGTGGGTCTAGAACGGGGTCCACTCTATCCGCTTTGGTTGGCACTAACTTCGCCGACAGGCCGCGCCATAGCTCAAGCGGTTAGTGGCTGGCTTCCCAACGCGGCAGCCCGGGTTCGATCCCGGGTCTGGTCAAGTGGAATTTGTGGTGGACAAAGTGGGCGCTGGGGCAGGTTTTCTCCGAGTACTTCGGTTTCACCTGCCAATCTTCACTCCAACAATTGCTCCACAATCACCCTCACCTATCATCTGGGGCTGGTACAATAGGCCAGAAGTGGCCGCAATACAAGGGGCTTAGTCCCAACCCACTAGCAATAAAAAAAATCCTGGAAATTCCGTAAAAAAACTGAGGCAAACCACAAAAAAAAAACTGTAAAGTTTGACTGGCCGTCAACCTAGATTCCAACCGATCACTTCCCGAATACGTGTCTAGAGCCATACCGCTATGCCAGGCCGCCGCGTGGTCCCCATTACAGAGGTTCTAGAGGCGGTGACGAAGACTCGAGCCTGAATCAAACTCCCGATCGTTTGGTTGCCCGGCCAGTAGCCTTAGACCCACACTTGTCTATTTTAATAATATACACGACACACAGATCATACATACAAACATGGAGTCGTGACAGACGCCCCAACAAAAATACGTGAATAAACGCGGGGGCTTAATTATTAGTCTCGAATCTACTTGTAGAAAGTAGAACTGACTGCAAAAGTAGATCGGGCCAGTGACTGGACATTGAGGATACGTTCATACCAGTTCCAGGCACGAGGACTGCCAGGATTTCTCTTCTGAGAAGGGGCAAACCTGTTTTCCGTGAGGTGGGGGGTCCAGAAAATTCTACGGAGACACTCTGCAGACACTTGCCAGTCCCCACCCCTTTCTGTAGCGTTTTTCTTAAACAACACAAACTTAAGGTTAGGTTAGGCTTCGGGTCGCGTTTGTTTTAAATTAACTTTTAGTTTCGGTTGCCGGGGCAGACCCTGTTTTCTTAGTATCTCCGCAAAATATAATTTCACCAAAATTTTCTTACAAAATTTACGTTTTGAGACTATTTTTTACCGATTGCCCTATTGTATTCCAGGTAGACTTACTTACTCATGGAGCTCAACCCTTCTGGAAGAGCCGTCAATTCTGCACCTAGTGAAGAATTTCAAGCATTTTATGGAACCCGAAGGTTCATTACTGTGTTCACAAGAGCCCTCTACGGGTCCCTATCCTGAGCCAGATCAACCCAATCCATATCGTCCAATCCTATCTCTCTAAGATCCATATGCCCTTCCCACCTCATAGTCCTTGACTTGATCACTCTAATTACACTTGGAGAAGAGTACAAGTTATGAAGCTCCTCATTATGCAGTTCTCTCCAACCTCCTGTCACTTCATCTCTCTTTCCTTTCACAAATACGTCTGTTAATATCAGTATCACGTGTATTTCCCTCTTTCGGCCAATTTGTAATCCCTCCCCCACCCCAAAAAAATCCTTGGGTAGAGATATATCTACCTTGCTTCCCCCCGTCTGCAGGCGCCTATCGTCATAAAACTTGTGAATGAGAGGGCTGTGTGCACGCACGAGGCAGGTAGCCCTAGCGACGTCCATTAACACTGGGCGTGGTTCACAATTGTCGAGTACCAGGTCTTCGAAAGGCTTTATTTAGTAATACATTACGGTAATAAAACACGATGCCACTTATCTTTATCCTTCGCAAGGGTTCCATTTCACATTATCCAGACACTAACAGCAACCCATTCAAAAACTTGGTCTTAAAGACTGCAGCACACACGAACACTCACATACCTGAACCAGATGAAAATCAGTCGTGTTTCAGTCAGTGAAGACAGCGACCGGCTTCCAGCCACGAGGATCCGTGGATATATCCGCCTAGGTCCGGGAATGTTGATGTTGCTTCCACAGCTCTGGAGCGTTATTGATTACGTAGCAGCGTCGGCGTCGGTAGCATCACGGCTATCTCACTCCAACAACCCGCCCCATACATGTCACTCGATTACTCTCAAGTAATGTAACGGCAGCGCCCGAATAAGAACCATGATACAGGCACAACGCAAACGTAACAAAACAACAAACCTAACCTCACAACTTCACTCAACAGACTGACGGCTGAAAGAACAGACTACGCGCCACACGCTAGCGGCAGCCCGCCCCAGTCGACGTTGCCATGTCGACAGCTAACTCATCTCGAACTTCCGTTTTTTTATTCTTCTTCCCCTTCTCATGACATTTTTTTCCCTCCCCTGGCACCAACACAAATATCATCCACGGTTACAATACAAATCGTCAAACGTGACCAATTCTCAGCCATGTAGCCACTTACTAAGACATGGTATGGCAAAGTTGTGACGATTTCGTAGTGAAAAGGACAACTGAATAGCATACTTTTTGTTAAGTGTGTCACTGGTCATAATACACACAAAGAGACCAGGTCAGAAACTCCGATGGAAATGGTTAAGTCGTTTGAGATGCGAGTGTGTTCTGCATGAATTCTTTAGTTGTGCCCCTAACAGTGAACAGATAAAACGGGTCCTGATGGCTAACCTTGATACCAGATTAAAGGGGAAGATCAAGTCTAGAAGTCACTGTCTGATGGGTAGCATTCTTACTTTGTATTCAGGAAGTCTCTGGTTCAAATCTCAGCCTACTTTGACTATCCTGTATGAGGTGTTTCGTGGTCATCCTCGGTTCATCACAGCAAATGGTGGAACAGTATCTCAGATTAGGCCAAACCCGTTTCCTTCCACATATTTTTTTATTGCTAGTGGGGTGGGACTAAGTCCCTTGTACTGCGGCCACTTCTGGCCTACTGTAGCAGCCCCAGATAATAGGTGAGGGTAATTGTGGAGCAATTGGTGGAATGAAGATTGGCAGGGGAAACCGAAGTACTCGGAGAAAACCTGCCCCAGCGCCACTTTGTCCACCACAAATCCCACTTGACCAGACCCGGGATCGAACCCGGGCTGCCGCGGTGGGAAGCCAGCGACTAACCGCTTGAGCTATGGCGCGGCCCTTCCTTCCATAAAACTTCATTATTGATCTTATAATTAGATACTACACAGTCCCAGCTATTTGCAGTGTAATAAAATGAGCCTTAATTAAGTTTTAAAAATCGGTAAAAATACACTGAATATACTTTTTGTATATGCGGTTCGGCCGCTAGAGAGCGTGTCTCTCTTGAAGATACCACCCACGCAGTTTTATTTAGGGAATGGCGTCTGCAAGTTACTGACAGTGAGTCAAAACAGTTTGAGCATTTTTCGAGAAGATTGCAATTTTGCGTGTGAGACCCCCTTGCTCTGGGCCCCAGTCTTTTCGAGATGCAATACCCATATTCACAGGACACCGACTTAACAATGGATAAAGTCTTAAAACACCGAATGGGAATAAAACCCACCCAGCCGTGCAGGCGCTGAAGAGGGGCGCATGCAGATAAATGTTTCATTTCAAAATCCACTTTTTGATATTCAGTGGCTTCAAAAAAACAACTTGTAGATTCGTCAAGTTCGAGAACAATTCTTTCCACAGTCACATTGGTTTCTCATATGTGTATGAGAAGGCAAAAGAGCTTCACGCTCCGTCCGCATTGTTTGCCATATATAGTATCTACCCGTAATGTTGCTATATGGAGTGGAGATGGGTCAGTCGGTAGAGCGACGGGTCACTGGCTGAGAAGCCGGGATTCGATTCCAGGCAGTGACAAGATTTCTCTCTTCTTCACAGCGTTCAGAACGACTCTGGGGCTCACTCAGCCTCCTATACAATTCGTACCAGAAATTTATATGGAGTAAAGCGGGCGGGGCGTGAAGCTGGCCAATCATCTCCATCTAGTGTCGAAATCATGAATGGTGGGGCTATACCTCCACTCCCCAACATGTATTCATGCAGTGGACTTCAATTAATTAAGCACAGGGAAAACTTTACCTTTTTTATCTTTTTACTGTGGCCATGTACTAGAAGAACTATATTCATGTGAGGAGCAGGTAGGAACTGCACAGTTCCAGTAGTGATCACAAACTAAGCACACAGTTTGTATGTATGTATTATGAGAGGGGGTGGGTTTCCCCATGCACTTAGACCAGTTATTGGTCCATTGTGCGTCCCCCTTTTAATTTCTACTGTCGCCATACCCTACCGGTAACAGTGCGTGCCATCAGCCCCCGTAGAGCCAACGAGGTCGGTCCCCGGTACCTTGATGCTTCCCCCATCCACCAGAGACATTGGAGACTACTTGGGCGGGAAAGGGCCTGTAATTTAGCTCAGAGGTCTCCTAGAGACATGAGGTTCTTTTACGTGCCGTAAATCTACGACACGGGACACACGGCTTAAAGTCCCTGAATTTTTCCGCCCTTAAAAATTCCACGACCTCCGCCGGGTTTGAACCTGCGTACCTTGAGTCATGAGGTGGGAACGTTACCCCTAGACTACGGAGGTCGCTAAGCACACAGTAACTACAAGTTGTATGCCTGATGCCTAGTGACGTAAGCAACTTTCAAATGACGTAACTGAGCAGAAAGACCCGTTTCGAAACCCGTGACGAACGACACGCCGCAGACTGGCTTCCAACTCTACTAACGGACCGCGCTCTCGCTAGAACTTCATGATCCAGAATTATCCAGGGTTGTCACCAGCCGTCAACATTTATTCAAATTGTCTTCAGGTAGCTGAGCCCTTCTTGAGAAGCCGCCAGTTGTGCAACTACTGAAGAACTTCTCAACATTTTATGGAACCCGAAAGTTCATTGCCGCATTCACAAGAATGCTCCACTGGTGCCTATCCTGAGCCAGATCAATCCAGTCCATACAACGGTAAACCTATCCCTGTAACAGGCCGTGGAAGCCCGTAGGCTTGTGAGACTTCGAGGCTCCCACATATTCTAGATAGTAGGTTAAGAGATGGTGGTGAGGTTGTCAGCCTGACGCGCCAGCCAGAGCCGGTCTGGCCGACATGGAGAAGTGAAAATTCTTGACCCTACCGGGACTCGAGCTCCGAACCCTTGGTCGTCCAGCGCGTAGCCAGTCGCTATACCGACTGAGCTATTCCGGCTCTTAGGGAAAGTATTCCTCCTATTTCTGCCAGAGGAGTAAAGCTTACTGTTCACCTCTATCTAATTCACAGGTTAAAAATGCGTGGAGCTATACCTACACTCACCCATACGTCTTCATGGCGTAGTGCTTAATTAAGTACAGGGGTGACTTCAACATGGTGTCCCTAAACACGGAAGTCAACCAGCATGAATGCAGGTGACAGAGCTCTGACCCTGAACATGGAGGCGACATGTTCCTCCGAAACGTCGGCTGACTCTCAACGGACTACACGGTGTTATATCACAGCAGACAGAACCCATTTTAGGGAGGTCCCGATTTGTGGAATTTTCATTAAATTCTTCTGTGGACTCGAAGTGATACAACTGCCTCAAGTTCTCGCACGTTCATTACCAATTGAGGCCAAGAGGCAGGGGATGCGTCCTCCATTGAGTAAAGTTGTCTCTCTCCTTGACTAAATAAGCACTAGGTTATGAAGACGTATGATGGAAAGGAGGTATAGCTCCACCGATCTTGACCTCGGCACCAGATGGAGGTAAGTGGTCAGCTTTACGACCTAACCGATTTACCTCAGGGGAAATAGGCCTCGGCACCCATTGGGCTGGGTGGGCCTCAGAGACGGTGTGGATACTGTGCAGAAAAGAAAAACTCCTGCCCCTTTCCGGGTATCGAAACCCGTCCCTATATCGACTGAGCTATCCCGGTCCTTCCTTGAGTACAAATGCTCTGATAGCTGGCAGAAACGACAGGATGGTCCAACTTTGGACATCCCTTCATTCTCCACTCGTGCCCGTTGTAACGGAAAGGCGTAGCTAATTGAAAGCGATTTAGTTTCTTGGACACAGACAGCTGTGTGGCCCGGCGCCTGCGCAGAGCAGAGAGATGGCCCGATTGTTATATACATGCCCATTCGTCCTCATGCAGCAACTGGGCTCAAGATGAAGACGTTTTGAATGACATTTATTACATACTTACATATTTTTTCGCTTTGTAGTCCCTTAATATTCGTCTTTTACCTCCATCTATTCATTTACAGTTATCGTAAATCATTCTCCACATCTTCAAGCCATCCCAATTTGGGTATTCCGATTTTTCTGCCTTTTGACTTACTTCCAAGAATTTCTTAGTCCTTCTTGTTTGATCCATTCTAATCACTCTGTCCCTCCAAACAACTACTGGGATAGTGCCTCGAGAAAACCATGACCGATTCCTTCCTAATCCTTTGCAATTCATGAGGCATTCTACTATTCAATGTCAGTCTAACTACAGACGTCTTAAACCCCGCACAAAACCAGTTTCACCAGCCTTTTCTTTTTAGTATCTGCTATCAAATGAAGGGTTTTGTTCAAACTCCTCGACGTTTCGGAGGAATATGTCGCCTCAATTTTCAAGGTCAAAGTGTAAGGGCAGAAAGAAAGCCTGAAGCAGGTAGCAATCATGATGATTTATTTTTTGACATTGAATTTGGAGGTGATGAGTTACACCGAAACGTCGGTTGATTTCCAACGAGCTACATGGTGTTATATCCAAAAAGATAGAAGTCTATACCCAGACGGAAATTTACATATTGTTCTGATATATGTGGGAACGCGGTAGCGTAGGTGGTTCAGGCACTAAGCTACAAGCCGGAAAGTCGCGGGTTCGAGTCCCGATAAGAGGATTTTTTTTTTTAATTTACCTAATCCTTCCAGCAGCACTATGTCCCTAAGGTCGCGAATCAGCCTGTAACAGAAATGAGTACCAGGAATCTTCCTGTGGGTAAAGGGCGGCCGGCGCGTAAGGCTGACAACCTCACCGCCATCTCTGAGCCGATTGTCTAGAAAGCGTGGGAGCCTCGACGTCTCACACACATATGGGCCTTCGCGGCCTGTTACAGAGATAGCGTTACCTTTCATCTTCTACAACATCTGCCAATAAGAAGGTTGAATTCCTCCCTTCTTTGTCTCCTATTCCCTCATAATTTTCGCTATTTATTTTTATCCTGTATTAGCTTACTTTCTAAAGTAGGATTGCATGATCTCCTTCCTGTCTGTGTGTCTGTGTATCCCCCTATCTACTTTTGAATGCCTCAACCAATATTTATGAAGCTCGGTATGTATATCGAGCCACCTGAGCCCATCTCAACGGCCTACTTCATAAATCTCTCCCATCAGCCTGTCTGTACATGTATGTTGCTAGGTAACGGCTCGGTGAAAACGTCAACGAATGTACACACAACAGAAGAATTTCTTGACGCGTATGCGATTATTTTAGCTTGCTTTTCTTATTTAAAAATGAGAGTAGATTTATGAGATCAGCTTGTTCTGTGTCTGTTCGTGTATCCCTCTATCGTCACTAGGCAACGGCTCAGCCAATACTATCCCGTTGCAACGAATACACATGCAACTATATAAGAATGTTTTGACGCGTCGTATCAAAGGAAAGTAGGCCATTGGTTCTTACCCAATTTTTGTTTTTCTCTCTCTCTCTGTTACTTTCTCCCGCATAAATAGAGCTGATACTGCACACCCCTCCGCCGTGGACGCGCGACGAGAAGCAGAAAATTCAGGCGAACGTCCTCATTCCGTCGGTTCCATTCTCAATCCCAGGCGAGGGAAGTTCCGCGCAACTTAACCCAACCGTCTACGGATGAAATGGCTGTCCGCTAGCGGTCCCAGCGCCTCCCAAAAGCCATACCCGATCATGTCCTACAGCAGGCATGTCCAACGCGTCGATCATGGACGATTTTTGGTCGATCTCATAGGCCTATAAGGAAATTATACGTGAAAAGCATGTAAATTCAGTTGTAATATAATGTGATTATATTCAGATTTTGAAGGGGACATACGTGTTAAAGTAGTCTGTACCTTCAGTGTATATTGTTTTTACAACAAACATCATGTGTCGTGTTATTTTTACCAATATTCTTGCTTAAAGTGAGGTACGGCGATAGGAGGGGCTGGTAGATCACTGGCAATTTTGACACAACCTGTTTGAAGTTGGACATGCCTGTCCCACAGCATACCCCACTATCCCCCCGTTTTAATGCCCTTCCAGTCTCCCCCTTCTTTTTCTGTTGTGCACGACTCCAATATACGGCCATGAGTCTCGCGGCACTCACAACCAAGAACGATTCTGCTGGCGAGGACCAATAGGAATTTACCCGATTCGACCCGACCTCTTGTTTTTCGTTCCACAGCGTTTGCTTTCCTTATTAAAGGGGTTTCAGGCACGTTGATTGGAAACGACAGCGTAATAAGTAATTACACAACAGTCGTTACTAAGTAACGGCTCCGAAAACAAGCATATTTCCACGGTAACAATTGCACTGCAACAGAGGAACGGTGTCTTCTATGCGGTCCGTACAGAGATGTTATTAGCAGGATAATTTAGGAGCAGTGACTAAGTTAGAAAACTGCTAAGGTTTAGTTGTTGTCAGTTGTTACGGTTAGACGCTGGTAGCTGAGGCACGGGAGCAGTTCGGCAAACCAGAGGAAGGAGAATGTTCGCCATTGGAAGCCGCTACCAAGCAACGGCAATGAAGGCTTAACTGTGGACGCTAATGTGTGTGTGTGTAATAGTGAAATGTAAAGTATAGTCATGCGCTGTATCGAAGGGTCCAATAAATCCGGTCACAAATCCAAACCCCGTCTATAGTCACACTCATACACGTGACAATATTGTCTGTTTAAAACATCTTGAGGGTCAGTTTTACCTTGAGTTGGCAACCTTGCTGAAGAAAATTCCCGTTAGTGAGTGCGGTCTTGTGGAATGTAACGCCGTGTATTTCCGAGAAAAGTCGACTTCTGGGAGGAATATATCTCCTCCATTTTCACGCCATATTTTTTTGTTCGTTACTTGTGTGGCTCATTCTTAGACCTTGAAGATGGAAGTGATATATCCCTCCGAAACTTCGGTTGACTTTCAACGGACCGCACGCCGTTATGTCCCAGAAAATATAACACTTTATGAGAAATACTGATTCAAAAATACTGCAACAGAGAAACGGCAACACAGGCTGAACATGGCAAAACAGGGCTCAATAACCTCTGACGGTTAAAATGTTTCTAAATAAATTTTAAAGATGCATAATAATCAGACAGTGAAGTATATCATCATGACCGCCATGACAGAATCACTAGTTTCTATTTTCAGTATAAGGTTATACTGGACATCTCGTCGAGCACACAAGAACTCTTCTTCCGTAAAGTTGCCTGCTAGAAATGTGACATAACCTCAAAGACGATTGACACAAGATACATTACACAATTTGTGAGCTCGTAGAATGCGTAAGGACGCATTTTAATTCAGCCCTACTGTAATACACCCTAGAGGTGAAGATTATTGTTTTTCATGTCTAGCTTTCAAACAACTAAGCCCTCAGACGCATAAAAATCTACATCGCCCGTGGTTTTCTATGGCCAACGTACGTCATAACAAGGTACAAAAACACCCGCAGGTAGGTCTATTTGATTGCAAAGTCAATGGAAGCCATTNACCAGACTATACGGCGTCACACCTTAGAATATGTTTACTCTTCATAGTCGTCGTTTTGGGAAACTCGTGTCCAACAGACGTTTTTATTGTCCAACTTTTCTCCTGCACAATTGTATCTTGAGACATTCTGAAAGCACAAATGTAAAAGCCAGCTGAAAATGAAAGGGAATCATTTCCTTTGTATCTTCAACCTTCATTCCTTGACTTCCTTTCCTTTCGCTCCCCCCTCCCCAACCCTCACCCCTTCTCCTTCTAAAGCAGCGAATTACATTACATCTCTGTCCTTAAGGTAACACAGTTTGTAACTTGTGGTTTGATTCTGAGTAAGACTGAAAACTACCTCGGCGTGAGATGGAATAATACACGTACGTAAGTAGATAAACAGATACATAATTATGAATAGTCTCTTATTACACATGCTTCTTAGATTTGAAGACAGTCATCTAACATTTGAAGTTATAGTAAATGTACCTGAAGAGCTGTATCATCTTGGATACTAGTATATTAAAATGCCGTGCTATCTGGTAAAATTCAACAGATTTCTGAGGAACATATCAACTCCTTCCCCTGAAGATGGAGGTAATATTTTGCTCCGAAACATAAGTTGACTATATGGGTTTCATAGCTTTACATCCCTGAAGGTATTACTACTTGTAGTGACCACTGTGAAACCCTCAAACCGAACAAAATTTTATTTGATTAAATTATTATTATATTATGCCTAACTTTAACAAAGGTAACAAAGTTTTCGTGATTAGTTATGGATAAGATGTAAGGTAAAGGGGAGTGTATGGCGAGTGGATATATAGATACACATTTTCTTGACCTCGGCACTAGTTGGAGATGAGTGATCAGCTTCACGCTCCGACCGCTTTATACCCGGGGAAAGAGCTCCGGTAATAATTGAATAGAAGGTTTAGTGGACCCTAGAGTCGATCTGGACAACGTGGAGAAGAGAAAATTCTTGACCCTATCGGGACACGAACTCCGAACCCTCGGTCGTCCAGCCCGTAGCCAGTCGTTATACCGACTGAGCTATCCGAGCTCTGATTATAGATCTATTAGAATTTTGAACATTTTTTACGGAAAATATATCAGTGTTTTCTTTTCTTTTTTCAAAGAAAGCTACTTCCGCCTCAGAATTATTTCATAAAATCAGAATCTATTGTAACCGTTTTGATTATTTACACAAACTCGGTTCCATTTCCTGTTTGTTCACAACCGTAGGTTGCTTCCGTTCCTTTTGGCCCCAGAGAACCCTTTCATCAGGTCTCCCACGTTTATCTGTTGCATAAACTTCGTTTTTCTTTTTTATTTTTTATTTTCACTTTCAAAACATCAATTTACCTAGTTCCAAAGTTATTTTTCATTCAAATTTTCCATTGTTCCCATTCTAGGGATGTTTGCTTGCCCTTTCCCCGTGCTCTCAGGGCTGCCACGCGGCTACCCGCTGGGACCTTCATTGTTCAATACATTCGCTAATCATTTATGTGACAATATTCACTTTTTCGAAAAGGGAACCCGATGCCTGGAGGTATAACTGGGCCACCCTGTCACTGAGAAACATAAATATAGGGAACTGATCCTCCAGGTTGGGGGGTTGGTCGCAGGGTTGAAATCCTTGTGTGAAAAAATTACTGTTGCAAAATCCAGAGAAGTGAAAACCGGATGTAATCTGGGAGCATCTTCTTAGGATACAGCTCAAAATAGGGCCGTTTTCCCGACGATGATGATGATTACGTACAAATATTCCGTGTCATAAATTCTCCTGAAGACCTAAGTTTTCGAAATCCGATACTGAATCAGGGGAAATAAGACGAAAATTAACGCCCTTGAAACCCATGTAGTTCCCTCTACTCGTACAACTGCCAGCACGCTTGTTAAAGCGGCAGGAGCGTGAAGCTGACGACTAACCTCCATCTAGTGATGAGGTAAAGAATGCCTGGCGCTATGCCTCCAATCCCCCTTATTTCTTCATCATGCTTTGCTTAATTAATCACAGGAACAAATTCACATTATTATTATTATTATTAAGTAAAGTCATAACCGATATATCATCTTTTAAAAGCCCTAACGGCAACAATCTGTCGTTGAACAGGTGACAAAAGATTGATACAATCAACTATGACGTCACAGAATTCTTGGTGTCTAGTGACTATTAATCAAATGTAGCGAATTGCTTATATCTGAAGTAAATACATTTTAACGTCAGCTATTACAATGGAATCCTCACGCGACAGTATAGCGATGTCTTTTATTACAACATGTCCATAAATCACTCTGACTGTTCGAATAAAATCCAGACAATTCAGTGAGCAGTTGCATTACAATCAGCACCTTCACTAACAGATACTTTGATGGACTGTTTATAATCAGGCAGGTCACACTACAGGAAGTTTAACATTCAGCATCATGAACTTTTACACTGGAGAGTTTTGCTAAATTATATGGACGCAATCTAATTCTTTATATAATGGGGCAAAAATAGACCGCCCCTGTGGCCTAGTCGTCATAGTTCCTGGCTACAGATCCAGAGGTCCTGGGTTCGATTCCAGGCTCTACCAGATTTTCTGAGAAGTAGTGGGTCTGGAACGGGGTTCACTCTGCCTCGTGATGATAATTGAGGAGCTACCGTATTTACGCATGTATAGGCCGCACATTTTTTGCCAAAAATTCAAGAGGAAAACTGGGGTGCGGCTTATATTCGAAATATTCGAAATCACACTTCATTTAAAAAAAATTATATTCATAATTAGTAATACAGGGTGTAATACTCCTGAAATAATATTCCAAGAAAATTATTTTTTCTATAATTTCTGTCTGAAAATTGTGCTGCGGCCTATACACGCACGCGGCCTATACATGCGTAAATACGGTATTTGAAGAAAATAGCGGCTCCGGTCTAGAAAACCGAGATTAACGGCCATGGGGAACCGTTGAGCTGACCACTTGACACCCTCTATCAGCAAAAGCTGGCACTAAAATTCGCTTAGTGGGGGGTGGAGTCACTCTGGGTCCACTCGGCACGGCGGCCACTGATTGGCCTATTGTACCTTGTTACGGGTGATTATTATGATGGAGAATTTGGTGGAATGAAGATTGGCAGGGGTAACCGAAGTACTCGGAGAAAACACGCATCAGCGCCAATTTGTCCACCACAAATCCCACTTGACCAGACCCGGGATCGAACACGGGCCACCGCGGTGGAAAGCGAGCGACTAACCGCCTGAGCTATGGCGCTGCCAAGTTTGCACTAACTCCGCTGACAAGTGGTGGTCGCTCGGTCGGTATAGTTGGCTTGAGGACCACAGGCCACGGAGTTATTTTTTTTGTTTTGTTGGGGGGGGAAACAGACATATTACACCCGTTTCTAAGCTGAACTCCTTAAACAAACATTTATCGGAGAGAAACAAGAAGTTCTGGGAAGAACTTATCACTTAATTTCATTTAATACGACATGCATCGCATAGAAAACGAAAAATTAGGGGGAATACAAAACAAACACACAGACAGCAAAGTGATTTCATAAGCTTGCTAACAAAAGCTAGACGGGGATACGCAGACAGACGGACACACAGACGGGTACACAGACAGACCATACACATGTAAGATTCGGGGTTTTCATGGAGGTGACAATGAAGAATTCCGTCTTTTGGAAACGGTGTCGTGTAGATTTTGTGTGAACCGACATTTAGGAGGAAAGTATCGCCTCCATCTTCAGGGTAGAAAAACCGAGAGCGTGGCTGCAGCTAACTGCTCACGCTGGTTCCTCGCCCGTGGATTTTTCTACCCTAAATATGGAGGAGATATGTTCCTCCGAAACGTCGGTTCACACAAAGTCTACACGGCGGCACATCCCAAAAGACGGCATTCTTTATACCATACATAGCCTACGTAACGAGTAAGTTCGGAAGAATAAACTGTAAAGGATATGCCAACATCCATGTTCAAGCATTCATTGCCATAAATTCAGATATTTTATGCACTTACTCAAGTCTCAGAATAACATTATGCTCTTACATAAAATTACGGCACAGTTGTCCTCGTGCTTAACTAATTAAGCACTGTGCCATGAAGGCGTATGAGGGAGTGAATGTTTTTCTCGATCTCGGTACTAGTTTCAGGTGAATGGTCAGCTTCATGGTCCTACCGTTTTACCCCCGGGGAAAGCGCCCCCGGTACCCACTGCTTAGGAGGCTGGGTGGTCCTCAGAGCCGGCTCGACCCTGTAAAGAAGAGAAAATTCTTGACTCTACCGGACTCGAAATCGAAACCTCGGCCTCACAGTCTGTAACTATTCGCTATACCGACTGAGATATCCAGGCTCCATTATGTAAAATTATATTTTAATAAAATACATTTATATAATATACTATTAATATTTTGTATATATGCTTCTTTTTCTTTTTTTTAAATGAATGTAGGAATTTTGTTTACGACGTAATAGACGTCTTGCACAAACATTTTTTCTTATTGCCTAAAGAGCTCTGTAACTGACTGTAACTGAAAGGACGCATGTCCCCCATCTTTGAACTTTCAGACTAGTCTTTAACAAGTAAGCCACCGTGGCCCACCGATATCTGCTGTTAATATCAATCATTACTACTAGAGTCACTACCGTCACTACATTCGCATGTTCCAGGTTATACAATCCTTGCACTACTTCAATACGCTAGCCAAATTACATGAATTGAAAAGAATATCAAATTAAACGTTTTAAGCACTATTCAAGGCAAATACAAATCCAGCTATGTTCCATATGCCGGCTCTTAATGATTAGTATTACATTACAGGCCGCTTATCTAAAGTATAATTTAATATTGATATAGACCTTTCGAGAGGAAGTCATCTTTCTATTGGCGATCCTGTCCACTGATTGAGGTTATGCTAGTTTCTGGAGAGATGGAATTGCTTGAAAATATAAACCCTAAACTGTACAGAAAATGCGAAAAAAGAGAAGTTACTCCAGAAGAAGAAGATGATAATGTGGTGGATCCTTTCGATTCCAGAGAAGTCTTTGGTATCCTTTGGCTACATTGTTTGGTTACTTTCAAGTGGAATAATTTGTTATGTTTTCAGCAACGTTAAATTTAGAGAATCTATTATGCGGACACTTGTTTTATCTAGGTATTTCATTATATCCGAACCCCATGGTGTTGTATCTAAACACTGTTAACTTACTTTACACTACAATGGTTTATTCATATGACATTGGCCATGAATGAAAACTTTACGGTTAAGGTAAACGTTTACCGGTTTGTTATCCGGATACTGCTTTGTCTTTGTTATCCGAGTTTTCTAAATTAGCGTAAAACTATTGTCCAAACTTTCTTGTGTCTGTTACACAGTCCTGATATTGTAAAAGTGTGGAAGAAAACCAAGACGTAAAAGAGGGCACTAATGAAGCCAAGAAAATCTGACAGCATGTAATTGAACCTGAAGATCATCTTTGATGTGACATAAGTTTGGTAGATACGTATCAGAAGCTTCTGTCTTCAGGGTAGAAGACTGAATGTGTGGGCAACAGCTTCCTCTGAAACATTGATACGTCACTGTTAAGCTGCAGTGTCACATCTTAGGAGACAGATATTCATGCTCACTCCTGTGAAGCCCTCAGATCTCATCTAACTTGAAATTACTTTTAATAAACAGAAAACTATCAAATTATTAAGCATTAGCATTCTCTACAAAGAAAAAGAAAAAACCTCATTTGGAGGCCATATTTGTCCATCTGTGACATAGAATTATTGTCTAAACTAGTGAATTGACTTTTGGTGTGGGAGAATTTAACCATAGCTATCAAGCAGTTAGTATAGTGACTGGTTATGGGCTGGACAACCAAGGGGTCACAGTCTGAGTTCTGGTGGGGGCAAGAATTTTCACATTTCATGTCATACAGACCAGCTCTGCGGCCCACTCAGCCTCCTATCCAGTGGGTACTGGGGACTCTTTCCTTGGATGTAAAGTGTCCAGGGCATGAAGCTGATCACTCACCTCAAACTAGTTCCAAGGCCAAGAAAACATGGGTCTGCACATCTACTCCCACATATGTCTTTATGGCAGTGCTTAATTAGTTAAGCACAGGGACAACTTTACCTTTTACCTTTACCCCACAAAGAAATGCACACACAAAAGAGTTGACTTGAACTGACAAGGGTCAGACAGCATTCAAATAAAGTGTCCAGCTAGCAAACTATTATGTTATTGGCAGTATCCCAGTTTCAGGTTATCCTCAGTTTCTGGGTGCTGAACAAGAGGTTTGTCAACATAAATTGTCATAGCTAATGTTGACACACCAAGGTTACGGCCATCAGCCAATATGCAATCTTCTATGTCCCACGGGCTTTTGGATTCAAGGCCCAGCATGTAATATGTTTTCACCAGTCATTGGTTGGATCACCACTTAGTAAATTACATGTTTTGTCCACATGGCCATCATTAGGTATGCATGATATGCATTGTAGTATAGTATTATATGGCCCATGAGGGCTGTACGTCTAAAATCTTAATATGTTGTCCATATTCCACTGCTGGCAAGGAAGCCATTTCCTGTACAGCACATCTTAATGACGTAAACTTCAAGATGCAGTTGATTTTCAACTACTGTTGCATCCATTGTACAGAGGGAGACACAGAAGAATTATAGTTTGGGCTGAACTCACACAATTCATAATGCCGAGGTTCTCACAGCAACAACTATGAAGATTATTGTATTTCGGGACATAATACTGCATAGTCTGGTACATTTCAGAGGAACGTGCAGCTTCCATCTTCTGCCCTGTAGACAGATAGCAGATACCTCTCAAATGCCATCACATCGCAGAAGATAGCAATTTTTTCTGTTTAGCCCTTTAGCCCCTTGACTGCCAGCCTCCACCAAAAAGCTGCTAGAAATGTGAAGGCTGCATGGGGGTAAACACATGTTCGTCGTCATCCTTTAGCTCCCACTGGAGCATAGGGCATTAACAAAGTGTCGCCATTTCATATGATTCTTGCTGAGTTGTTTAATTTCTCCACACGTCTCCCCAACAGCCAAGGCTTCCTCTTGTTCTGTTCTCTGCTAACTCGTATTTTCCTTTGTCCTCGCGGGTCCCACTCCTTAGCCTCCTCCTCCATTGCATTCTCCTTTCTCCTTTCCATTTATTCTAGTTATCTCTTCAGTTATTTTTATTTCATTTGTCTGTTTCCATAGTTCATCATTTGTTATTATAACTGGTCTCCTCACCTTTGGAGTAAATGCAGTTCTACAGAAATAGAGTTCATTCATAAATGACTCTTGAACAACCACAGGTAAAGGACACGACAGAGCCTGTTCTCTAAATACTGATACACGTATATCACATTTTGTGCCCTCTATTGACAGAAATACTGTACCAATTAATGAGCCGATCTCTTTGGCTGTGGTAGGTTTAACACAAGTTAGATCAACTTGGTGCATGTACATGATTAAACTATACATCACATTTGAATTTAAATGTAAATATCCTTAACAGCGCCATTAGATATGATAAGAAGTATTCATGATCCTGAACACCCTTTAACATTGGAAGAACTGAATGTTGTGGAACAAAATCTTATCGAGGTAACTAGAGACAAGTAATGACCCTGAAGTAATACACAATTACATGCTCAGTAAAGCTGTAGATGATCAGGGGTGTCGCAAGTTTTCTCTTTACTGCCACATGTACACTGCTCTGAAGGCAACCGAGCCTTCGCTCCCCAGGCCATGCCTTAGGCGATGCAATCGAAGCAGAAAGCTGACCAGCCATATCTTTTTACCTCTTGCGGGGGTCAGAATGCTCAAGGTTGATTTTGTTCTCTTTGTATACATGAAATGTTTCAAAGCTTCACTTCTGACTTTTGTTGCCTTCAGTTAGTGAAGTAATTTCCGATTAAGATTATGGTCTTTTTGAATGTGACAGTTTATAGTACAGAAGAGAGGAGACACCTGCTACCTCAGAGTCTGCTATACAAGGTAGCATACAAAATTACATGGCGTCACATCAAGTAACAGTCATCTTAACACGCAGTGTTATAGACCTCAAACCAGAATTAATTATTTCTTTCAGGTGGACAATGAGAACAGTGAAATAAATGTCCAATTTACTCCGACCATTCCACACTGCAGCATGGCTACGCTGATTGGCTTGTCAATCCGAGTGCAACTGTTGCGATCGCTTCCTTCAAGATTCAAAGTCAGTGTAGCGATTACTCCTGGGACACACAGTTCTGAAGAAGCCGTGAATAAACAGCTCGCAGACAAAGAGCGTGTTGCAGCTGCAACTGAAAACTCTCATCTCATTGAAGTTATAAATGAATGTATTGCTATGAAATGATTTGTACATTATGTAATTCTTTAGTTGTATATACAACTATGTATGAATTAGATACAGTAACATAATTTGCAATAACCAGGTTCCTTGTTAGGAGGGCATGGATACATTCTGTTTTTAAGACACACAGAAAACAATATTCCCTCCTGCAGGTGTCCCCAGTAACTAGTCAGTGATCACAGCAACATATGACACCAAACTGTACTCTTGTCTATCCATCTCTCTTCTTGGCAGCAACTGTATCCTTCCCAATGCTGCTCACTTGCCTTGGTTTGGTGGGGTCATACTTATAGGTCTTTTGAACTGGACCTCTTCCTGCTCTTTGGAATCGCAGCTCATCAAATCTCTGTCTTTCTTCCAGTTCCTTGGAGATTTTCATATTTGTCCAAGCTGAGAAACAGGAAATATAAATTTCATACAATGAACTATAAAAAGTGAAACTATGAAAATTTAATGAAGGAGAAGTGACAGGAGCTTGGAGAAAACTGCATAATGAGGAGCTTCATAACGTGTACTCTTCTCCAAGTATAATTAGAATGATCAAGTCAAGGAGGATGAGATGGGAGCAGCATGGGGGAGACTGGAAATATATACAGGATATTGGTGGGAAAGCCAGAAGGACGTCTATCAATACCAAAATATAAGTAAAAGTAAGGTAATATTGTCCCTGTGTTTAACTAATTAAGCACTACACTATGTAGGCATATGGAGGAGTGGCTGTATAGATCCACATCTTGACCTCTGCACTAGTTGGAGGTGTAGGTGGGTGGTTAATATTAAAATGGATTGGGTGGTACAGACTGGGTTCAGCTGACTCAGGATAGGGACCAGTGGAGGGCTCTTGTGAACAGAGTAATGAACTTTAGGGTTCCATAAAATTCTGGGAAGTTCTTGAGTGGCTGCACAACTGGTGGCTTCTCAAAAGGGCTCAGCTCCATGCAGTCAGTTGTTTATGAAAATTTAACAGCTGAGAAAGTTACATATAGAGGAGGAGGAGGCGGCAGGAGAACCTTGTTCATGGGTGTACAGCTCATTGCAGTCATATGTTTATGAAAATTTAACAGCTGAGAAAGTTACATATAGAGGAGGAGGAGGCGGCAGGAGAACCTTGTTCATGGGTGTACAGCTCATATATAAACTTGTGTAAGGATTAAGACAGACCACTATGAAAATTTCATCCCATAACGAAACAATGAAATCGCTGCAACAGTCTGTCCAGATTTCGCTTAAGTTTCATTATTACACTAAGGGATATGTCGATTTTTTCATTTAGTTTCACACTTTATTAATTTTTACATTTTCATTTACCTCGCTGTAGGAACATGTAAATTAGCAGCAGGACTAACCTCCTCCTTGAGAAGCTGCCAATTCTGCAGCTACTCAAGAATTTCCCAGCATCTGATGCAACCCGAAGGTTCATTACAGTGTTCACAAGAGCCCTCCACTGGTCCCTATCCTGAGCCAGATCAATCCAATCCATACCATCCCTCTAAGATCCATTTTAATATTGTCCACCCACCTATGCCTTGGTCTTCCCAGTGGTCTCTTTCCATCTGGCTTTCCCACAAATATCCTATATACATTCTTCTTCTTCCCCATTCGTGCTACATGCCCTGCTCATCTCACCCTCCTAGACTTGATCATTCTAATTATACAGTTCTCATTATGCAGTTTTCTCCAACCTCCTGTCACTTCATCTCTCTTCGATCCAAATATTCTCCTCAACACCCTCAGTCTATGTTCCTCTCTTAATGTCAGAGACTGAGTTTCATACCCATACAGAACCACAGCTAAATTATAGTTTTGTATATTTTATTGTTTATATATTTTCAGAAGACATGTTCGCTAACAAAAGAAAAGGAGAAAAATGTCGCTGATTGACTGGAGCTACTACTGACTACTTACATTCTTTCAGTCCTTTAACGAAGCCTTTTGGCTTGACAGGCAGCGCATCCGGAGAGTGCGTCACTGTCTTGTCAATCTTGAAGAATTCCCTGACAGCAGGAATTCTTAGGAAACCCACTTGCATGAGTGATATGAAGTTTGTGGACACCCAATACACTAGTATTACCTACAAAGTGACAAAGCATGAAAGTCACTTACACATGTGCACCCAATGCTCCCTTTGGTAGAGTGAGACAAGAGTGAAGCTGAAGGTAATGAAACTTGTTGGTTGATGGAATGCTAAGCTTATGGTTATGGACACCAATTCAATGCAAATCAAAACAAATTAATTTAAAACTAATATAACACACTGTTCAGTAGTGACATTTCAACAAATGAATGAATGAATTAAAAATTACAATGGACTGTCTAGAACTGGTAAAGGCACATACATTAATGTATCATCTAATGAGCTCAATTTGGATCAACAGTACCACCTAGTGGAGCCCTAATGGAAATGCATTATACCTAATATATTTTTTTCCCTAGGAGCTTCTCATGAACATGTTTTAAGTGACATATGTAACCACATGAAGCAATGTGCAACTTGCTTACTCTGTGTTCTAAATGCTGCATATAATGTTGTAAGTGAATAAAATATCTTTTCTTGTAATGTTAGTAGTGTGACTATGTTCAAGGGCAGCTTATATTCAGACAAATATGATATTCTGGCAAAAGCCAATAGTCAGCCTTCTTTCCAACGAATCGACAGTGGCACATATGAAACCATAAGTCAGCTGGAAGCTTTCATATCCGATGCAGCAGGAATGACATAAGAAATTGCCATCTTGCCATGAGAGACTGATATTGCTCCATCAGATGATTCACTTACACCAGGAAAGTTGACTGTGAATGGCAGGATGCAGACTGGCATGGCACGAAGTACGTATTTCATAGTCTGCAAATTTCCCGAAGACACTTTCATTGCATCCGTTCCAACTTCAATTGTGATCCACATCGTGAAACTGGTGAGGAGAGGCATCAGGTAGTACTGGTCTGGCACTGTCAGATCTGAGAACCAGAAGAGGCCTCCTGTCCTCATGCTTTCCACCGGCACGTTTGCCATGCCTCTCAAACCCATGAAGAATGAGATAAACAGGGGTGCCTGAGGAAAATGAATGACATTGTAACAAAGCAAATACAACTATTTTTCAATTGAGTGAATAGGTTTTCTGGCATCAACTTAAGTATAGCAAAAACAATTTATTATTTTTCCATATGTAGTTAAATTTAATTTAGTGTGACTGATGCTGAACTAATGACTGATATTTGAATTTTCTGTTTCCCCCGAAACTGTTACGGCAAAACCATAATCTCTGCAGACCGACAGTACATACTGAGCCCAGACTGAAGCCATCACAGTCGCTCACATTCCTGAGTGACATGCTTTCAGTATTCATTTTGTGTCATTAATTAATCTAGAAATTAATGTGATTCTGCATAGAAATAATTTAACTTAATGCCCAAGCTAAAAGTCAGTATAGCGATTGGCTAAGGGCTGGAGTTCAAGTCCTGGTACAAACAAAAATCTTCTCTTCTCCACGTCGTCCAGACTGGCTCTGGAGCCCACCCATCCTCATATCCAAGGGGTACTGGGGGCTCTTTCCGCTGAATGTGAAGCTGACCACTCACCTCCAACCAGTGCCGAGGTCAAGAAAACACCCACTCCCCCATACATCTTCATGGCGTAGTGCTTAATTAGTTAAGTACAGGGACAACTTTACATTAATAATTCCCACACACAAAAGCATGTGCCGATAGTCAGTAGCTGAAACATGACCGCATCACCATCCTACAGCCATAGAATTCTCACACTGGGTATCTCTCAATGTTCAGTGTACTGAGATATTATTACACCCCTGTTTAACCACAGTGAAATCAATTGAGCTGTGTAATCTATGAATGCATTACTCATGATATCCCAAACAATCAAGGTTAGTAACACCACTTGTTACTGTAATCTGTGATTAGTACACACATGCAAGATTGGAAAGTGGTACAGCTTTACAGGCAACTCCCAGCAACGTCATGTCCCTTACATTTCAATTTTATGCATAGTCTGTCGACACACTGTCATACAAGCCGAAAGGTTGCAGGTTCAAGTTCCAGGGAGGTGGATTTTTTTCAATTTTCCTAATCCTAGCAGCCCTGCGGTTCACTCAGCCTCTTAACATTAATGAAGATCAGGAATCTTCCTGGGAGTAAAGGGCGGCCAGCGCGTAAGGCTGATAAACTTACATGTGTGAGCCAACTGTCTTAGAGGAAATATGGGAGCCTCGACATTTCACAACCCTATAGGCCTTCAGAGCTTGTTACAGGGATAGCTTTACCTTATATATATATAGGGATAATTATATACAGTAAGTCTTATAAGATGATGAACAGTTTATTCATGTAATTTTGTATAACCCTCATTTGGTAAAAACCTCAGTTTGGTGTAGGAAAACCCACTCCACCACAGAGTAATTAAATAATGATATCAATGCCCAGTCTTCACTTCTGATTCTGCATTTTACGGTAAACCCTCACTAATCCGGACTGAATGAGGGAGGCGGAAGTACTCCAGATTAGTGAGGCAAAACATAGAACCAAAAGAAAAAACTTCGAACACAAATAAATAGAAAATTTAATGATACAAGCAGTGCTCATAAAAACTAAATAAAAAGATATAACTTTAAAGCCTTTATTTAAAAACTATAAAAAAAAATACATTTATTCATAGATAGAAGACTTGGAAGTTGTACTTGTTTTTGAACGTAATAATGGGCATTTGAAGAAACTGTCAAAGTTTTGTCTCAACAGACAAGTGACTCATCTGCCTTCCTAAATGCCATGTGTCTTTTAAAGTATGTACTCTACTGTGAACAGCATTTTTCTTTTCATGTTTCATATTTTGCTCCGGATTAGCTGCAACCAGATTGGCAAGGGTTTACCATAATTCACTTGGGTGAACATTAAAAAGTTATAAAGACTGAAACTCGCTTCACATAAATTTGTCCAGTCTCTTTAAAATTCTTATTGCATAGTTAAGTCTGTGTAAAAACAAATAACACTGACAACTGTTGATGGATAATACCTGTACTGTGATAGCACATGTGCATGTTACTTATTTTATGCCATCATCAGTGACTAAACTATACAGCATCAAACAGCAGCACAACTGACAGACTAGAAAAAAGTGGTCATGGCCCAATCAAGGTATTACCCTGGCATACTTACAGGGACTGAGGAAAACTATAAAAAACCTAAGTCAGGACAGCTGGTATCCCAACCAAGATTCATACCAGGCATTTCAGGAATGTGAGTCAAGATCTCTACCACTAAAACAACCAGCTCAGTGTCTGGCAGTGTAAGTTAAACATAACAAAAACCGAATATCAGCGTGCCTCAAGATGATATCTCCAATACAACACTGAAAGCAGTGGCCTCTTCGACTAAAAATTGAATCATTTCCTTCCCAGTTAACCAAATCAACACAAAAGTTGCATTATTTGGTGCGCAAGAATCTCATACATGCAGAGGTAACAGCTGTTTTCCATTTCACATGACTTGTGTACGTTAAGAGATGACATAAACACGCAAAATATTTGACTTTTAACATTCATACTTCTTATATTGTTACTACTTCAGGTTTAAATAATGGGGGTGGGGCAGCATACTAAGTCTTGCATCACGTACTGCATTAATCATGTCAGTTACAGGTGGGTGGGGGGGTTAAAACTTAAACACTCACACTTACACCATACAGACCTGTGCAAGGGGAACCACCATATTCTTCAGCGGACTGAGCTCCTTCTCATTCATGAACGTGACCAGTTCTTGAGCATAACGTGCCGCTGGAAAGAACATTGGAATTTATTATATAACAATTCTGTTTCTATGACAGAAAGTACTGAGTTATTAACTGCAGAGCCTAAGAAAGCATAAGCAGACATATTAACCAACAACATGGAGCTGAGCCCTTCTCGAGAAACCACCAACTGTGCAGCTACTCAAGAACTTCCCAAAATTTTATGGAACCTGACGATTCATTACCACATTCACAATAGCCCTCCACTGGTTCCTATCCTGAGCTAATCGATCCAGTCCATACCACCCCATTCTAGCTCCCTAATATTATATTTTATTACAATTTATATTTTAGCATTTCCATGGCATTGAGGCATCATCCTTATTATAAAAGTATCCGTCAATAATGCAACAATTTTAAAGACATTAGGAAATATGTTCCACACTAAAAATGTATTTCAGTACTTTTTGATGATGTTAAGATCATTACATGTCAATAGGACATTAAAAGCATATTCTACACATTAAAAGTGATTATCCAATGTTTGTAAAATGTCTTTAGTCATATATTTCTTCCAGTTTTACGACACGTTTCAGCCACATGAGCCATTATCAGATAATTTCCTTTCTTTTTGGGAGACTGCTGCACTGTATACTTGTCCACTGTGCTTCCAAGCATGTCAATATTTTGTTTATATTTTTAGTGTGAAACATATTTCCAAATGTCTTTTAAACTGTTGCATTATTGACAGATACTTTGATAATAAGGATGCTATCTCCCTAAGATCCATTTAAATACTATCCACTCACCTATGTCTTGGTCTTCCTGGTTGTCTCTTTCCTTCTAGCTTTCCCACAAACATCCTATATGCATTCCTCTTCTCCCCCTTCATGCTACATGCACTGCCAATCTCATCCTCTTTGACTTGATTGTTCTAATTATACTTGGAGAAGAGTACAAGTTACGAAGCTCCTCATTATGCAGTTTTCTCCAACCTCCTGTCACCCTGTTCCCTCTTCGGTCCAAATATTCACTGACCCCAGGTTGGTAGTACTGAATAGGAATGTCATCTGAATTGAATATTTACACTACTACATATGCTAACTGAATTAAACCCAGTTGATTATAACAAATACACACACAAACGCTAAACATTCTTCAGCAGTTGTTATCATATGCAAGGCATCCACCTGCACAATCCAATCAGTCAACCCAGCTTGTATATATCTCCCATCTGGACTCCCATCATCAGAGAAGAAGAAAAAAACTACAACTCTGTACAGTGTACACTGAGTGGAAAATTTTGTTTTTCTTGTGTTTGTACCATACAGACAATTTCATCTCTCCAGTGATGATTTATATCTTGACAGTTCCCTGATGCAAGGCCTTCCTTATATGTATGTGTGAAGTTTTTAATATTTTAATGTTTTGTCTTTGCTCTCACAGATGGTTTGTGCTGTGCTTTGTTTGTATACCCTATCTGCACATACCTGGAGATAGAGACCAGATCTATTGATTGGGCTGAATGGGTATATTTTACCTGAAGATGGAGCCAGAATCCAGTCTCTGAAATGTTATGTATTTAAATATAAACAGGACGATGTATAATGTCCAGAAACATAATACTTGTACTACTACGGAAGGAAGAAGGGCCCGTCTTCTGGGATGTGGCACTGTGAATATCTTGTCTTAACCGACGTATCGGAGGAACATACCACCTCCATCTTCAGGGTAGAAAAATCTGCAAGCTAGAAACTAGCATGGGCAGGTGGCTGGAGTGATATATTCCTCTGAACTGTCAGTTAAAACAAGATCTACACGGCGCCACATCCCAGAAGACTGCATTCTTCATAGTCACCGCTGTGAAAACCTCAAATACTGCAGAATGTTTGGTGCATGGCATACAATTGAATCCATGTTGCACAAACACAATACGGAGGACGGTTTGCTGTGTGTTTACACACGTACAGTCCTGTTCATTCTGAGACCGAAAGATATTAGAGACAAGAATAATTTACCTTCCAACTGGTTTCCTGTCTGTCTAGCTTCAGTCATTTTCATTTGAAGAGTCTGTATTTGGGGGAGGTTGTTACTCATTTTTGCCGCATTTCTCTGAGCCATAATAACTAACGGAAATATCAAAATTCTTACTACGGCTGTCCCTGAAAATCAAAAACAAAATTTAATTAAATAATGTATTCTCCAGTCATAAAATTTAAGAGAAAATGGGGAAACAAAATAAAATAATTAAACTGCTATTCTGTAACACAGACACTTAGGTAACAGTGAAAGGATTTACTTAGTTTAAAACAACCAGCTAAAGTACAGACATGATTAAGTTAGACAGTATGTCCGTTATGTCTCCATCTCAAATTGAACCAGTGGTCATGTATGGAAACCACTAAGTTTGCTGTACAGAAAAAACTGTGAAATGGGGAAGATTCTGACAAAATACTTGCCTCCACTTGCCCATCTTACTTACTTAGTATCACTGGGTTTCTCAACTTTGTCCACTATCTAGTATTCTGAATAGAACATGAAATGGATCCAATTTCTGAAACGCTCTGTTTGAAATATTGGTGGATATAGTCCAGAAAACCTGAAGGGTGATATACCAACCTCAGAACCATTTCAAAACTGGTTTACTGATTTCAGCCTTAGTAAAACACACTGCCCTAAAGTTATACAGGTGGAAAATGAAAATTTCTACATTATAACTGTCACATTTATGAAATTTTACTTTATACTTTTAGCCTTGATGATAAAATAGAAATCCTAAAGAGAAACCACCATACACAGAATATTCAAATTACAGTTATTATAATATTCTCTCCATGATGTACAAAACCTGAAGATGTACAAAGGTGATCATGTCTATTCATCCACGTCTGAATTAAAGAACTAACTGATAGAGTTTGATTAAATGTGATATTACAGGTCCTAACTAAAGTTTATGAGTCAGTATAGCTCAGCTGGTATAGTGACTAGGCTACAAGCTTGATAGCCAAGGAATTTGGGTTAAATTTACAGAAGGGGCAAGAGATTTTTTCTTCTCCACAGCATACAGGCTGCCTCTGGGGACTACCCAGCCTCGTACTCAACGGGTGCCGGGGGCTCTTTCTCAAGTAGTCAAGTGGCCGGAGTATGAAGGTGGCCACTCACCTTCACACAGAGTCAAGGTTAAGCAAGCATAGAGTTATACCTCCACTGATTATGCACAGTGACAACTTTACCCTTACCTGCCGTACGTTATAAGGTAGATTCAATTTTCATAGATTTCCGCCATAAATATGCCCTTTCATAAGGAAGTATTACACAAAGAACATATTGGGAAATTCTGTGAACTCCAATCTGGGCTGCAACTTCCCAGTCTTGTTTTCAAAAGCTTACACTTTAACAAACTGGGGGTGACAAACAAGACTGCTACCTCCATACCTGTGTTCAACACAACAAACACACTGACCTTCCTTCCACAGAAGAAGTTATTCACTTGTTTTTGTCAAATACTGAAATTTACAGATTATTTTTTGTACTCAGAATCACAGATACTTAACCAGCAAAGAACAGACCTCATTCCAATTGTCTGCATTACCTATCATGACTGAGAACCACCAGGGAAGATCACAACCAATGTGCAGATACTCCATACAATTCTGCACAATCCCAACAGGCGACCAGCCTCCCAGACCAAGACTAGCAAATGTTGGCTCCCCTGACAATGGCAAAGTTTCAACCAGTTCTTCTACTGATGGTGGTATAGCAGGTGGCTCTGGTATGTCACCCAGTGTGGGCACTATCTCACTGACTGGTGATGAGGCTACAGCTTCTGTTGGTACTGGAGGTGTTTTTGGTACACCTTCTGTTGAGGCTTCTTCAGGACCAACGACAGAACTTGGGGCAACATCTGTACTTATCACAGGTCCTGATGTAGGCCCATCACTTACTACTGACCTGGAACTGGACCCACCACCTTCCGGGACCTTCGAAGCATGGCCATGGTCCTCATGCACCACAATCGTGCTTACTGATCGCGCAAGTGCAATTCCTAGCACACCCCTCTGATTGCCTCTGCTGCATGCGATGAAACTTTTATGTTGCATTTGTTTAACATAGTTCCTGCATGAATGTGAGGCAACATGGTGGTATCTTATGGGCTCACACTTCACAATGCTTTCACACTGAAAACAAGTTAAACCAAGTGCAAATTACTAAACAACACACATGAAAATCTCATGCATCACTAAGAGACCAAGATGTTGGTCAGTTACAAACTTGGAGGAAAAGTAAAATGTAAATATTATCTTATATCGTGAAAAATGGATCCTTTAACTTCGTTTATTCATCACGCTGTTTCCTGTTAGGTCATGTGAAATGCATAGTTACCATATATTTACTTTTCATCAATTGTGCAAGCTCACTTCTTATTCTCAGTTTACATTATATTGGGATAACCTAACTTAACCATATGCTGGGTCATATTTGATTTCGTTATCAAGATATAGTTCACATACTCGAAACATAAAAATAGATGTGATGTTTTGCGAGCAGTTCCTAATGTGAGTGTAACATTCTGGATGGAGGTGCAAACACAAGTTGTGCGCTGAAGATTCCGGCTGCTGAGAGCCGGAAGGGAAAGGGAAGTGAAGTGGCCTCCCGAATTTACAGTTTTGCAGAACGGGTGATCCACTGCTAATATAAACTAAGCACCGCAAAGGGAGGTTCAAAATGAACACGTGATGTGTCCCGGCGATGAATAGTTACAGTATGCGAAAGTATATGTAACAGCAGCCTCCGCACCCTTCATCTATATTTAAAAGTCACATAATGATCAAATGTGAGAAAATAATGACCTGCTATAAAATGGGCGATAATAATATTTTGCATTGTAATGAGAGGAAAATGTAATGCAGCCTGATTAACATCCGTCATATTTACTACTACATCTACTCATCAATGGCAGACTTGTGACGTGATGTTTACAACTTATGCACTCAATACCAGAAACTTTATTACCTTCACGTAACTCAGAATATTAGTAATATTCTTAATTCTTAACTTAGATGCACCGCATTTACAAACTACCACCGTCGCCATCGTCGCCATACCTTGGTTGGATCACTTAACGCATGCGCACAAGAACACAAGAACGTAATGTTTGTCGTGAAGGGGGGGGGCGGTATGTCTTTAGGTGCTTTAGGTATTTGTTATTGTACTCCGTTGTACTCCATGCGACGATTTAGTGATATAACACCCAATTCGATGTTTTGAACCGAAAATAATTTCGTCATATCTGCTCTTTCCGTACTCTTCACATATATCCACTGAAACTGATTGTACACTTTTATAAATGGTTCATGGAATTTTTGCCATAGGATAGTCAAAGGACACAACAAATGACATTTTTGCCCAACCAATTCAAAATATTGGTGACAAAGGTAAACGCATTTTTGACCTCGGCACTGGTTGAAGGTGAGTGATTAGCTTCACGTCCTGGCTGCTTTACACCCAGAGAAAGAGCCCCCAGTAACCACTGGTTAGGCAGATGGGTGGCGCCCAGAACTGGTCAGGATGAATTGGAGGGGAGAAAATTATCAGGACTCGAAAGTCGGCCCCTCGGCCGTCCAGCCCATAGCCAGTTGCTATATAGATTGCGCTATCCCTGTTCCCCAATGGCAACAGACACTGAAATTTCTTAGGTGCAGATTAAATAAAAAAACATATTTGTTTCTTTTATGCCACAGTACACATATATTCATTTTTTTACTTAATATTTTCTAATACCTAATTTAATACTTAGTAATTAATTTTCAGTCCATGTACCAAAATATTCTGAGGCGTGAAGCTGAACACTTAGCTCCAGCTAGTGCCGAGGTCAAGAAAATGTGGATCTACAATACATCCACTCTTCCATATGTCTTCATGGCGTAGTGCTTAATTCCATGAGCACAGGGATAGTTTTACCTTACCTATGTACCAAAATATTAAGGAATGAGGGAACTAAATCCCTAAGGTTCAATTCATCATTTTCTGGTCTTATAACATGCACTGGGGATATCAAAGCAACTATGGAGCTTCTTCCTGGGGTCTTCTCTGATAACAATACTCATGACAAAAATCTTTACAAACTTATTCCTTTGGCATAAAATAATAATGACCTAATTAACAGATGAACTTCTCAGGTTTCAGGGTCATCACCTAGGAAATGTGCAGTTAGAATGCTTCACAGTCTTGAGTCTGATTTTCCAATGAGGCAGTGGCAGATGCTATCAAGGAGTTTCAAGATTACGGTGAGCGTAAATTGCTTGATGAAGGAAAGCAAACAATAAGTATTGCAGCAGCAATTGAGTGTAAAGCACTGACAAATGTAAAATAGTCCATAAAATATGTGTCACAGACTTTAATAATGCAGACTCAACAGCTGCAAGTGTAGCTCTTGCAACCTAAAGAGTAATGAGAAGCAGCTCAAACGTCATGATAACTGTTACTTTGGTGTGTGGGAAGCTGGACTGGAGAAAGTGCCAACACAAAACTTTGCTTGTTCACTAACGTATACTTGAGCAAATATAACAGCAATAATATTTTCTCAAATTGCTGTAATATTCTCTGCAGATCAGGAGTAACTGTAGAAGTAAACAAACAAAAAAAGACCACTTTACTCAACAAACATTTCCCATCATAAACTGGATGAATATCCTTCGTATTGTGTCCTTTGGCCCATGAGAAATGCACATCAGAACGCTGCTCTTCGGTAATATACTCACCAAGCATGGTCACCATTTTGGCTATTAGAACTAGCCTCAGAACATGGGAATGCACATGATACCTAGACTGGCATGAAGTTGGGCTGTGCGGCTACCTAGTGATACACATAGAAAACATATCCATTGCAGCAGTTTTACTTCCTTTTGTGACTTATTTACTGACTCTCCCTCATACATCAAACAGGCCACAAATGCTTCCTTCCAATTTCATCATTCATTTTTCATGACACTTCATAATCTCAGTACTGAAAGTGTCATTAAGTAACCCATGAACAAAACAAAGGAGCTTCTTGCACAGTGGCTGCTGTTTGGGACATTGCACCTCTTCAGTTGCCTGCAGACATTCAAACACTGATGCCATTTTGTATGAACATGCCAGGCTGCTCAGCACAGAGTCCAATGATATTGTTACAGCTATTGATTGTAAAAACGTTCTGATGGAAAAAATAGGCTACACACAAAAGCCAGTCTTGGCTGACACTTTAATTTGTTCAAAGAATTTTTGTCCTTGGGTTGTGATTGACATGAGGATCTAAATGAAAGGTATGAAACATGCCATGTACTTGGCTGCTACAAGCGTTTACACCACCACAGGTTCATGGCTGATGCACACACTGGTCTGTCTGTCTCTGTCTGTGTGTGTAATGTATGGTGCTAGCTTATCAGAGCTACTGATGAGCTGACTGGACATCTGGATGCATCACATATAAAAAAAAAGGATAGAGTAAGGAATATAAATATTTTCTGTCAATTTCTGTCACAGTTTCAATAGCAGACACTGAATTTCAAGAACTTCTACTGTTTATTCAGAACAATATTTTGGCACTTATTTTCTGTCTGAAGGCCATAAATAACATTTCACAATTTTGTCTTAAGTTCACTGTGCTTCAATCAGCATAATATTACATTTTCTCTATAATTTAATCAGTTGTCTTAGTTGTCTTATAACTACTCATATGAAATTGGTATATACCAGAGATGTCTGAAGTGCTTTGAATCTTGGAGGAATGGGCTAGTTAACTCGGGGACACAGCCTTCATTACTCCATTCCTAAATTAATTATACAAGTGCAAAGATAATACAAGGTTGAACAAGATGGGAACAAGTTCAGGAGAGTGGGCAGAGAAGGGTTTCAAAGGTGGCAGTTCTTTATTTTTACAGTACTGCCCTAACAGTCACCTGGATAAACAAAGGACAATTAGGATAAACTCTGTCAGGGAATATGCATATATAGTATTTCATCTACACAACACACATCTGTATTTCTAGATATGTTTCATAACAACATGTTTCGATCTTTTAGTCATCATTGCACTGAGTTACATTTATCATTTGTAAGCTAATACAATTTTCTGACAATGGCCAATGTCTAGAAGAAAATTTCTGCCTATCCCGATGGTTAGAACTATTGTAATAAAATTAATGTATTAAATTATCACAACAACTGTGTTCCAGTTGTCATCAATTCTTTATAAATCCTCTATAAAATACGTTAAACTGATATGCCACCAGGATCATATTAATTAATGGTAACTAGATCTAGATAATATTATTCAGATGACAAACCCCCTATATTAGGGTGGTACAGTGTATACTGTAAAGATATTCATGAGAATTAGATGTAAACTGACAATTTCCCTATCCAAATGGTTGTAATACCTGTATGTATGGACTGTTGAACGATAATAAAATGAAATAAAATGAAATAATGTAAAGCTCGACATTAATACTGTTATGATAAAATCATTGTAGTTATGTTGCACTTGGGGTACAGAACAATGCATTAATTCTGTCTATGGTGTAACTCAGCCTTATGACCTTAAGGTCAAAACATATCACTGTTAAAAAAATGTATGCCTAGATGGAATATTATACATACACATTGCCCCAAAATACACAGCATGATGCTCAGATACAATATTGCGAACTCTGCAGGATAGATCCCTGCCCAAAATTCAAGTCATGTTCAACCAAAATACAAGTTAATGTCACTGAAGTCTGTAACACTAACTCCAAATTGATGTGAAGAAACCAGCCCTTGTTCTTACTTCTGACATCCCTGGACAATACTGCTAAAACAATAACCTAATGCTCACTATTTCCTTAATTCTATACTTTAAATGCAGAACCATTTTCATTGTATGATTAAAAGTGTTTTATTTAAATAAAGTCTCTTTATAAGGAACTTCTCAGTGAAAAATTTGTGAGGCTCTGTAAGGGCTTGTTCATCCAAGGGGTTTTTTGCACCTTTTACAGTGGCCAAGCATTCTTGTGCATAATTATAACTTCGTCTCTTCCCATCAGGTCCACTTCATACACCCTGTGGTTAAAAATTTTCATGTATATATTGTTTTGAACTGAAACGTCAGTTGCAATTCACAGGCTTATCTCCTGTACCTATTTTAATCAAGCATTATACTATAGGCTGCGCCATAGCTCAAGTCGTTAGTCGCTGGCTTCCCACAGCTGCGGCCTGAGTTCGATCCTGGGTCTGATCAAGTGGGATTTGTGGTGGACAAAATGGCACTGGGATGGGTTTTCTCCAAGTACTTCGGTTTCCCCTGCCAATTTTCACTCCACCAATTCTCCATCATCATAATCACCCAGGGCAGGTACAATAGGCCAATCAGTGGCCGCTGTGCCGTGTGGACCCAGCTGAATTCCACCCCCCACTATGTGAATTAAAATTAAAATTAAGCATTACACTATAAAGATGAAATGGGGAGGGGGTGGAGTTATGGTCACCACACATTCTTAACTTCAGCATTAGCTGGTCAGCTTCAGGCCATGGCCACTTTATCCCAATAGAAAGAACCCCCAGTACCCACTGGATAGAGGACTAAGTGGGTCCCACAGCTAGTCTGAATGTAGTGACAAAGATAAAAGTCCCTGTGAGATTTGAGGCTTTCATAGGGGTAACTATCTTCTGCAATTTGAAGCAATGTAGCCTGGTAAATGTTTACCAAAATTTTGGAAGAATGAACTGTCCTTCTTCAGAGCAAAAAGTAGGTTGAACAGCAAGCAGTATACTCTGTTTGCTGCTTGCTTGACTTACTGTCTGACTGTGACACGCGTGACAGTAGATTCTTTGAAATGTGAAAATTGCCATGACTGTATAATTTATCATTTTCACATCTCATCTTATGCATTCACAACTTTTAATTAAGTCCTCTATTTCTAGACCCTTACAGCTGCAGCCTCACAAATCAGATACTGGAAGCAATATGCAGTACAATACTCTGAACATTATGTAAATCGATGAACATGAGATTTTATGCTGAGATACATATCAGGATCATTCAAACCATTCTGAATACAGACAAGTGTGCTCACATGTTTCATTGATCTAAATGAAAACAGCTAACGGTTCTGGCCAGGAAAGTTCACGTAGCCAATGGGTCATCTGAGATTCAGTATGGTGCTCTGTAATATTGGAATGGGGCCCAAATCCTGGACACTTGGCCTTACATTGATTAACATTACAAAATATGTCATGAATGGAGTAACAAGATTCCTTGTCCCTCTCTACTACATAGCAAAATTACAGCCAAGGGAATGGGCTTGGAAAGATCAGCAAGGAAACATGATCCTGCTGAGCCTGCATGTAATTTGTCATTATAAGGAGACATGTTAATTTCTTGAATTAACTGTCATTAATTTTTGTACATAAAAACAAATATTAAAATTTCAACAGTAGATCTCTCAATACATTATCACATCCCATGCTGGACTTAACCACAATCAAATCAGACAAACCACATTTGCAAGAGAGATACATAACCTCTAAAGTAACAATATTGGTGTGGTGAAACATTTCCATGTACTTAGAGGAAAAGTAAGATTTATAAAGGACATTATGCAGTATAACACCGTGGCCTTCATAACCTACCTATGACAATGTAACCCAGAAGATGCAGTATAAACCTCCAATGTGAGAACCTCAAATATTATTATAAAGTACCAAGAAATTTGTAAATCCATTTTATGTTTGGTTTAGACTGTAAAATTTCAAACCCATGAGTTTACGTCTTCTATAACTCATTCTGTGCAGTTTTAAAATCAACAAGAATCTGAATTGCCATTTACTGTATCTCTCATGACAAATAAATTCAGTAATAAAATTAGAAATAATTAATTCCTAAATATAAAGGTAACATTTCAAGTCATTGCCATGTTAATGCCTTCATACCACACTAAAATATTTCATACATAATTTACAGACATGTTCATAACCTTTTACAAATCCAGTTTTACATGCCAAGCTTCTATTGTTCACTCTTTGTACTAGAAAGGCATGTAAATGAATATACTCATACAAATATCATAGTATTTTCAAATTCTCATAAAACTGACATAAAGAAGATTTGCACAGAGTATATTTTAAAGATATATGACTGTACAAAACTTTAGGAGCTTACATCATGCGACATAAACATTACTTTCAATTTAAAAGTTCATACACTTGGCATGTTAACATCAACAGGAAGAAGAGATATTGAAAATATGGCTGTCAATGGCATAAAGTTCCAAAGAGATTTCACAGCAATCAACCAACTGATTCAAAATTTATTCATGGCTGAATATACACCTCAACATAAAAATGACAATTTTGGAATAGTTTTAGGGAAACATCTACACCAAACAATATGGAACTTCCAGCAGCAACAGCATTAAATGTTGTGGTAAGGGCCTCTATTTCATATATGTGAGGTTCTGGGTTCAAATGTTAGCCTGGAGACAGACTATCCTGACTGAAGGTTTTCCTTAATCCCTACAGCAAATTCCAAGATGGTATATCAGGTTAGGCCTTGACCATTTCCTTTGACATTCTGTCCAATTCATCATTCACTTATCATCCCACAACTTGATGCTCTGAACTACTGGGAGTGTCATTAAATAAAGTAAAAATAAATAAAAATAAATAGTAATGGCATATGTGAAGGAGAGACACACTTGGCTTTCTTTGAATGGTCCTCTTTTCCTGAATATGCAGTCTATAACTCTATAACTCACTGGCCAACAATTCTACAATACAAGAATCCTAGCACTCTTATTTCATAGTTGATAAATGCTTTTTATAAGTACAGAACAAAGTTTCACATAGCTTATATTCTTGAGTATGCCTATATCAGCAAGAGAAGAACATTTCTTGATAACGGTTCCTTTTAAAGATAATTGAAAGTTTTATCAAGGGATGAGTAATATTTCCTTGCATATTAAATTATGTCTTAGAGTTCTGGGCATATAATGTAATTACAGCCAACTCCTTATTCAAGGCAGTGGGGGGAGCAGCATACATAAGACTGAAGCAATCTTCGTGATTGTATGCGATGAAGTTTGGTCAGGTGATCAGTCAAATGAAAATGACACCTAGACAAGAACATCAGATTCTGAAATGTGTAGATAAAAAATGGATAAACATATCGCTCATTAAATGATTTCCTGAAGATGGAGAGAGTGCCTCTGAATAAGTGAGATACTAAATCCATTTTCTCATGAGGGACTTCCCCATCAAAATTGAACTGTAGAGTTAGAAACAACAAAGAAATGAGGACTTCGATTTTTGGACAACCTTACTGTAGAAACATAACTATTCTGATATTGTAGTGTCACTATAGGCATCATTTATCTTGCTCGTGAGCATCTATGCACGATTGCATAAACAGTCTTTTTCTAATGGAATGAATTACAACATTACTGAATCTTGTTGCACATGATCATTGCTAACTAATTAAAATATTATAAATATACTTCGTAAGTTCAATACTGGAGTAATTTTTTTAATTACATATTATAATAATTATTTTGTGAGATTGAAGCTTGTGCAGTGGTGACTATGAAGATTACTGTCTTTTGGGATATCAGACCCTGAAGCTGGAGGCAGCAGGTTCCCCCCAAATGCTGGTATCTATCTACCAAAAACAAAGTTTCACATCCCAGAAGACAATATCTCTGTTGAAGAAAGCAGTCTTCTGGGATTTGGCACCGTGTATATGTGGTGTTAACCGACGTTTCGGAGGAACGTATCGCCTCCATCTTCAGGGTAGAAGAAAAAATATAAGAAATCTACAAGCGAAGAGATGTGGGAACCGGTAAAAGCAGACTGGAGGTTCTCACGGTCTCTCTGCTTGCAGATTTCTTATATTTTTTCTTCTACCCTGAAGATGTAGGCGATACACTCCTCCGAAACGTCGGTTAACACCACATATACACGGTGCCAAATCCCAGAAGACTGCTTTCTTCATAGTCACCGCCGTGAAAGCCTCAAATCTTACATAATATCTGTTCTTTAATTTGTCCAAGCTTGTTATTTCTAACATGAGACACATGCTTGCAAATAACCGAGAGTTGACTGCATATACCATTATTTGCTATCACAATAGGCTTACCCGTCCCTGCTTTATATTAAAGGAAGATATTACTGCTTTTACTTTCACCTATTCAATCTTAAGTGAGGCAACTGCATGGCAAATTCTCAGTTTTCAAAAGAGAAGACTACTAGCACATGGACATGAACATGCTGAATCAGCAACCATAGCTGGCTGACAAAGGGTGGTCCCTAGTGTGGAGAATTAGGCATAAGGCTGACAACCCCTCATCATGGAAGTTTAGAATATTACGAGCTGAATCCACCTTGGAACCGGATAGAGACTTTGGCACATCTAAGCAATATAGTTGAATACATGTTGAAATAGACAAGGAAATACATGGCAGAGGTGTAACTGAGTCTAAACTAACTTGTGACAGGGTCAAATGGCAGTGATGAACATTCAGGTTCCATAACAAAAAATTTCTTGAAAAGCTGAGTACCTATGTCTGCACAAAGAACATCCTGCACCATGGAGCTGAGTTATGAAATATCTGCAGCTTACTACAATCTGCTTTCATCACAAATTTTGTATCCAGGAACTTTCTCTTTGAGAATGTAATATTCACTATGCATGACTGTACCTGCAGACATATTATAGCTGAGGAACTGGACAAGATTTCTAACAACTTCACTACATTAAAAATACTGTATATATCCGTTTTAACTACAGAAGTCATAAAACTAATTCCTTCTTTTTTTTGTAAGTCCATATTGGTCATCCATTTTGTCACCACTGATCCCATATATTGTGACCTCTATCCTAGAATTAAAGATGGAAGAGGAATGGCGTGCTGGGAGGGGGGGGGGAATTACTTGAGCGTATACGGAAATGTAAATGACTGTCATGTATGAGTATATAATGTGTTACACAGTTCCCATCTTTAAGCAGGTAATTCTTGTCTTGGATATGTTGTTATATTGCCAATGATAGAGTTGAGTACAATTTTTCACGATGTGTTCATCAACTTGCTTTGGGTCTCTGCTCAAACTTTCACGTTTGTACTCTCAAATGCAATCAACTGAGTAATCTATTTTGATGCACATAATTGACTAGATGAGACCAGAACATCACAAAGTTGTGGTAATACTTCCTGTAGCTTTATTGAAGCTAGTCGCTGGTTCATGACTAGCTGACTGCTGTAGCTATGTTTGCGACTGAATCGGGGAGATGCTAGTGGACTCGGTGATCGTTGCAGGAACTGGGATATCCAATGAATCATAGAGGGGATATTCACAACACAGAAGAAATTTCAAAAACCTTGGAACCTCCACATAAAAGGATGGAGGTATTGGGATTAGAGGAGATGTAGATGCTTTGTAGTAACGATATTCCGCATTGCTGAAACAAACATCATATAGTAAGCATGACTTCAAAAACAGAGGTCAGTAAGAGAAATTGCTTCCTAAATACACGGTAATACACTTGATGGAGGCGCAAAATTAACGGTTATAAATCGTACACTAATTTTACCAATAAAAATGAAACTTTGGGAGTATGTACCTTGAAAGACGTGGAGATCATTGGGTTGCAGAAGACATTGAAATTGGTGTCCCTCCACCTGAAGACAGAGGCTGATATGATGTTGAAGCCAGCATGACACAAAGGACTGCAGCACATTATGACTATCTCCAGGTAGAGGGAAACCAGTTTCAGCATCTTCTGTAATCACATTTACCAAGATATGGACTCATCATCAAATTTAATTTTACAGAACTGTTAGGCTTATTTTGGACTCTATCAATCGTCCGGGATATAGAAGACAAAAAACCACAACATTTTGGAGACTGGATCTATCTCTGTCCTCAGGTGGGTGGAGCTGTTAGAAAGAGCTAGTCTCAATCACTGGAGGTCAGTAGAGAACAGCCTATAAACACCTGACAACAGGTTCCATCAGTGGGAGATAAGAATAAAATCACAATAAAAGACAAGATAGTTTTTATCAGCAAATTGTATGTATGTATTTATATACAAGGGGTGGGTCATAAAATCCAGCCCTTGCACTGCGACCTTCAATGATCTGTTTCATCAGCAAATTACTGCAAAACTTATTATTATTATTATTAATTCAGTAAGTCACGTGTATGTTAGATCTGAGGCTCTCACAACAGCACAAAGATTACGGTTACTGCAACACCATGTAGTCTGATGATGGGCTCCAACATTTCAGAAGGACCTGCTGACACAATCTTCTACGTGTCAGTCCTGAAGATGGAAGAATCATGTTTCTTCAAAATGCCTACCAAGCACTGTAGCACTGCATCCCACAAGACTGTAATCTTCAGATTAAATATGTCTGCTATTGTAATCTTCATGTCATGATTAACTTCTAAGCATAGTGGCTACTGTATTTACTGCTATTATTAACATTAAAACACTCTGCATTTTGCCTAGAATATATTGTCACGTGTAGGGGGGTAAGAGTGACTGATATTATGAGTTCTAGATTCGATTACTTGGATTTATTAGGCGTCTCTATTACAATTTAATTCTGAATTGTTTTTAATTTAATTCGATTAAAACAGTTGTAACATTTGACTCCTTCTGGATAACGAATCTCTCATTGTCGACTGGATCTTGCACTAGCCTCTAGCCTTCTCTTCTTTATCCTTCCGCACTCTTCGGTCGTACTGTGTTCTCTTTTGGTCAATTCTCTCCCTGAGGTAGGTTCAGGTCGAACCGTCAGGAGATCACCTCCTTGAAGTGTTCTCGTTTTGTGTCTCTGATGTAACTGCCTGTTTCTGTATCTGTTGCCTAGGAGACATCTTCAATAGTTCCTCTGCTGTCGTCATAATTGAGACCTCTGCTATTAAGAAACCAAAGTTCCACTGTTGCCTGCATTACACCGGTTTTTCTGGTTCAATATCTTAAGGCTTTGAGCAACCTGTCACAATATTTATGTATTTTGTATGATTCTCAAAATAAACAGAGTTAATTTCCTAAACAGCATGTGCTCCCTGCGAGGTAAGAACTGAATTTGAATTTTTAAATATTATTTGAATAAATATCGGCTGAGAAAAAAAGTAGATTGATTACTTTGTTTGTAAGACATAACAGCTGTAAATTAAGTAATAGGGGAATAAAAATATTGTACAGAATTATTAGCATTAATATGATAATCAGGGGGCAACAAGTGGCATTTTCTACCTCTGTGATCATGTTTCTGGTGGGCTCAGGTTTGTAATGAAATACTTACTTATGGAGCTGAGCCCTTCTTGAGGAGAATCCAATTCTGCAGCTACTCAAGAACTTCCCAGCATTTTATGGAACCCGAAGGTTCATTACCATGCTCACAAAAGCCCTCCACTGGTCCCTGTCTGGAGTCAGATCAATCCAATCCATACCATCCCATCCTATCTCTCTAAGATCCATTTTAATATTGTCCACCCACCTATGCCTTGGTCTTCCCAGTGGTCTCTTTCCTTCTGGCTTTCCCACCAATATCCTATATGCATTCCTCATCTCCCCATTCATGATACATTCCCTGCCCATCTCATTGTAATGAAATACTTACTCTCGATATTTGTCGTCTGATGATTTCTCCAAAAGAGGCATTCCTGAGAGGAAGAGGATGATGAGTGTCGTGAAGATCGGAGAGAGAATGGCAAACCATTCCAGCCCTTCAAGAACATTCAGTGAAATGATAAAGATCCCCCACCACAGCACTATCTCCCCAAAGTAGTTCGGATGGCGAGATAATCTCCACAAGCCTGAAAGGCAAAACTTGTTGGCTTCATCATTTCAGCACATCTCTCATGCATCACACAATTTGTTCCCATACTCCTTCATGGTACTGTCTCAAATTTTCATTACTTCTCAGGTTATAAACACAATTAGTTACACAGGGCAAAAGAGCTGTATGCCCCATCATTAAACTGAGAGAAATCACAATATGAATTAGAAAAGAAACATGCTTTTGTTCTACCTGCTATGTTCAACTATTCATGTTTCAAACATTGTATCTGTGTTTTCTTTATTTCATCGAGACCTCATATTGTAATTGACTGTAATAAAATAACAGACAATACAATGGATTATAATGATGCACAACTCAAACTTAAAACAATATATATTACACACCATCATTGCACCATTTGCCAATATTAGCAGGATCTTGGCGGAACTGGAATTTCTGGAGATCTGCATATGTTTCTGCCAAAAGGCCAATAACAAATAGTCCTGTGCCAGCAGAATCCAGTGTTGTCATTGTCCGGGGAGCTGGAGGAATTGAATTGTGGGGGGAGTTAATGAACATCACTGGAAGACTCACTATATACACCCAAATAGCCTGAAACAGGAGCAAAGGATTGTGAGGGACATGCACATCTGCTACAGAGACAGAACATTAACATTAGCATGGAGTTTAGTTTTAGTTTTAGTGGATATTATGAAGGGGAGACCCTGTAGGTTTTAATACCACTTGTACGGATAACAGACATGTTTATAACTTGCCATGACACAAATTATACAAGCCAAGTTTTGGAGTGCCTGGTAGTCTCTGGGAATGGTACTGGATTTTCAGTCAGAGCATTCTGAATTTGATCCCTGATCAGATCACTGTAAGACCCTTCTGCTCCCAGACTGAAGCCATCCCCTCTACCAAAGTCAAAACTTTGAAGATGTGAAGAAGAATTCCAAGTTCCTCTTATGGTTTGAAGGCCACATTAAGCTGTAGTACCCTCTGCTGGCCACCATTTTCATAATAACTCTATTGTTTGGGGTAACAGAATACACCTTATGGATGCTTCCACCTCATAAATTCATTCCATTCTCATGCCTAAGTGTGCAAAAATCAGTAAAGGTCAAACAGACCATGTCTGGAGGCACTAAGATCCAGCCAACCAGCTACTGTCCATACACAATATCATTATTTTGTATTTCTCAAAAATAACTTCATAATTTCCAAAGAATTATCACCATACAGCATTACAAAAATACTCAGTGAATGCTACTAATGAATTTCCCAAATAATATCTTCAAAAGATCTTCATATTCATACACTGATGCATTGTAGTTGATAGGAGGAATGTACAAAGTCATGTGATTGACAGCTGGGAGGGAGAATACGGACCGACCCAGTGGGAGGATGGTTATATTGTCTTGCTGCAGCTTGATACTGCCATCATGGTCTTACACAGAACAACATATTGTGACGGGATTTGCTAGGCAGCACTTCAGAAATCTCATACCCACTGTGACAATGAGTCATTGCTAGGTAGCAAGTCACTAAACAAAGATATTCCCATGATAACTGAAGGACAATTAACTGTTCGACATGGTGACTTATATTGTGGTTACTGGAAAGTTATAAAAGAGTCGTAATTCATTCATAGGAGTGAGTCATCAGACAGATGTCGTTCAAGGCAGTTCAGTGTGTGAGTAGTCATTCATCACAGTGGAAGAGAAGATGCTTGTAGCCCAGTAAAGAATAGAGCAAATCATAGTCAATCATTGACTGTGAGCTGTCATAACTGACTGCAATTTTAAAAAAATGCCAATAAATCCAATCAGCTGATTTAGAACCCATTATTATTAGTCACGCTAACTCCTCAAATGTGATGATACATTATATTATTGGTGCTACTATAACAGTATGAGCTTCACAGAGGGTTACATGAGTGCCAGTCAGCTATAATACTGATACCTGGGAAGGGTAAATGGGAGGCAACATGCAGCTTTTTTCTTTTTTATATTGCTAGTGGGTAGGACCAAGTCCCTTGTACTGCGGCCACTTCTGGCCTATTGTACCAGCCCCAGATGATGGGTGAGGGTGAATATGGACCAATTGGTGCAATGAAGATTGGCAGGGGAAACCGAAGCACTCAGAGAAAACCTACCCCAGCGCCACTTTGTCCACCACAAATCCCACTTGACCAGACCCGGGATCGAACCCGGGCCGCCGCGATGGGAAGCCAGTGACTAACTGCTTGAGCTATGGCGCAGCCTAATATGCAGCTTAGTAGAGTTTCTAAGGTGATCAGAGCTTCAGAACTGTAGAAAGAAGGGATATCAGAAAAATAAACAACTTATTATGAGACACTTACCTGAAAGGTCCAGAAGACAGCAAATCGAATCACATTACTTCGTTTATCATCAAAGCGTTTGTCACGGCCTATCTTCAGAATACGATAAAGCAGGTATCCTGATAAACGAATCCCCCATAGACAGATGAACGCAGTGACCATTAATTGCCGATTATCATAAGTCTGGAATTTGAAAGAGAAAATGTTCATGTGAGAAGTAAATGTGCATACATGGACGGACACACACACACACACACAAATATTTCTCAACCAGTCTGCCATCTCAAGTTTAATATTATCTTCAGATCTACAAGTAAGTCTTTCAAATGGTTTCTTTTGTCGCAGTGTTCAGTCATTCTTTTTGGTGAAGTTCTTTCTCCCAGTGTGTGATGAATTTTCAAAGCACTGCATATATCTACATTTTCAATTATTCCACACCAAAAGTATATGATATACAGACATTATTTGAATCCAAATATGTTTGCCCTACAACTCAAAATACATTAAAGCATAAAAAAGTGTGGAGAAAAGTTGTGTACAAATATCTTGCAGTAATCATGTTAAGTCTTGCAGCCTAATGCCCAATGACAAACCAGCGGTGTAAGAGACCAGAATTTCGTACGTCACCTGCGCCAGAAATAGGGTAAGCAGAGCCAGTATAATGAAATTGGTGCCGCCAGCAAAGTCTGTCAGCTTGTCTAACTGAAAGGTGGCGGCTATGGTGAAGAATATGAACTGCACGGTCACGGTCACAATGGCGCAGATTGCCAAGTGGTGATCATCTAGAATCTGGACCGCCATCACAGGCCTCTGCAACCTGAAATGAATCACATATCCATCGTATTTTGTGTCATAACAGCAGACCCAAGCCACGATAGCTAGAAATCCTTAATGGTAGCGATTTAAGGATGGTTAGATGTCTAATGCCTTAATATGGCATATGAAAGACTGATATTAGTTGTATAAAGCACCCACCATATCCTGAAAAATACTTCCAAAAGACTTTCAGCCACTTAAATGGTCTCATACAATGCTGAAAACTTGTTAAATTGGCATCCAGGTGTAAAATTTTCATGAATTTTGGTATGCAGATTACAAAACACTCACTCATGGAGCTGGGCCCTTCTTGAGAAGCCGCCAATTCTGCTGAAACTCAAGATATTCTCAGCGTCTTATGGAACTTGAAGGTTCAGTACCGTGTTCACAAGAGCCCTCAACTGGTCCCTATCATGAGCCACATTGATCCAGTCCATACCATCCCATCTTATCTCTCTGAGATCCATTTTAATATTGTCCACCCTCCTGCATCTTGGGGGGGGGGCACGCGGTTGGTTGAGTTGGTTGAGGCTCTATGCTAGAAGCCGGAAGGTCGCGGGTTCAAGTCCCGATGAGGTCACTGGATATTTTCAATTGACCTCATTCTTCCAGCAGCACTATGGCCCTGGGGTCGACTCAGCCTCTAACAGAAATGAGTACCAGGAATCTTCCTGGGGGTAAAGGGCGGCCGGCGCGTAAGGCTGACAACCTGACAGTTTAACAATATCCCCCCCCCCCTTAATGTGTCAGTTACCCATTTATGAACGTCACGGCTGATGACGTGAACGGAATCACGCTTTCTCAGCAGCTGACTGCGTGGCCCCATTTGAGATGGGCGCCAGGCTGGCGACTGCACACCTTCCGTCCCGACCGAGCTCCCAGTACGTATGTTATTTGTGTACAGTCTTGGTGGATGACTTGAGTTCTGACAAGGTGCCAAGCTCGGCCCGATAGTCCCGATAGTCCCGACAGAGATGACTGGAACAGCTGCGCTTTGATGGCCAACACGGCCCACCTTTTGTCTTTCTCGTTGCAGGTCAACTCTGACTCGTGGAGCCGACCATTAACTTTCACTAGGAGCCGGGATTTGAGAACGCATACAAATCTACAGAGACACGCGGTAGCGCAGCTGTTTGAGGCACTATGCTACAAGCCGGAAGGTCGCGAGTTCGATTCCCGATAAGGTCACTGGATTTTTCAATTAAGCTAATCCTTCCAGCCGTACTATGGCCCTGGGGTCGACTGAGCCTCTAACAGAAATGAGTACCAGGAATCTTCTTGGGGGTAAGGGGCGGACCGCGCGTAAGGCTGACAACCTTACCGCCATCTGTGAGCCGATTGTCTAGAAAATGTGGCAGCCTCAACGTCTCACAACCCTATGGACCTTCACCGACGGTTACAGGGATAGCTTTACCTTTTTTTTTCTTTTTTTTTCCGATGGGTACTAAGAGGGTATGGGATCGGCCGGAACATATACATGTCAATTCCTGTCCTCAGGCTGCACGTCTGTGTGCAGGAGACCCACATCTGAAGTAACGCAAACTTCCCGTCGCCTTGCTTGAAAGGTAACAATTAATTGTTAGGGCATGCAGGGCCTAATTTCTGCAAGGAAAACTGACACGGTAAAATTATAAAGTTTGAAAAGTTGTCCCTGTACCTAGCCATGAAGACGTATGACGGATTGGAGGTAAATTTTCGCCATTCTTGACCTCGGCACTAGATGTGAGTGGTCAGCTTGACGCCCCAGCCGCTTTATACCAAGGTACCCATTCGATAGGAAGCTGGATGGGCCTTGATGTTATTGAGTAGAGAACAATTTCTTGACGCCGCAAGGAATCGAACCCAGGCTGTCCAACCCGTATTCCGTCTCTATACCGACTGAGAAATCCTGGCTCCACTCCAAAAACACGTAAGGGGGAGTAACGGTATAGCTGCATTCTTTCTCAAATTTGGGCACGAGAGGGGGGCCAGTCATCGGTCATCAGGTTCGGTCTTCGAACGCTTTGTACCGCCGGTCTTGGGCACGGTGGCGGAAAGACCCCCCGCCCTCCAGCTGGGAATCGAACGCTGGCTCTCTGTTCGTTTAGTCTTTAGGATACTGACTGAACTAAGTCCACTCTGGATATGAAGTTGTCCCTGTGCTTAATTAAGCACATCATGAAGAAATTCGGTGTTAAATGCAAGAGGGCCAAGGTTGGTGTACGATAAACCAGCTAATTTGTGACACCTTGAATTGTGAGCCACTGAAATTTGTAACCTCACGCAGACTTAACTTTCAGTTGGTTAGCGAAACCTCCATAAAACACTGCAGCAGCGTCTGAAAGAAACCGGAATAAAACTTGTCACCTGTTATTCCCTGTCATGGTAGTAATCTGCGTCACCTTCAGACAATGACGTATCCTGTTACGTCATCATTTGAGAGTTCCTGCATTCTACATATTGTGACGTGTATGACCATGGCAAAGGCTCGGTAAACTCATTCCCGAAACATACGCTCTCAACAACAGGACATCCATTGTTAGATAACGGACCAATAAACACGCATTCTTGACAATAGATGGTGTTTTCCGTTGGGTCCGTGCCGAGTAGTTATAAGAGGGCATAGTCAGGGCGTGGAGGCGGGGTCGAATACCTCCACCGTGACCCTGCGAGTCGTAAGAGGCGATGAAAAGGGAAGTCTCAAATCCAAGTCCAAAGGGACTCGGACCCGATAAAGACTGCGCTGCCAAGGGCCAGCAGTATATACAAAAGATAGACCCGTCCTCTCGTCAGAGATGGCCCTCCACAGAAACAAGACCGCAACTGTCAAACAGTAATAAATATCTGGTCATGAGCCCCAGATGGGGCTCGACACCAAGACTTACTGACTGTTCGTCAATAGCGATGTGACCTTGACTTTGAGAATTGAAGGAGTACGAGGGAGTACAAAGGATTATGAAGGAGTACAACGGAGTTCAGTTGGAAGTCAGAATAGTTCCCGTGGAGTGTCCAGTCGGAAGAAGATGACAGTGTGTCAGATTGGTATGTGAACTGTTGTAACCAGTTGTATAAAGGTCCAATAAATTCGATCATCAAATCCAAAACCCATCTTATTAGTCACGGAAACCCCGGAAACGTGACAATATTTTCAACTTAAAAGAATTCTGAAGTATTCTTGTTTGGTCCATTCCAATCACGCACACGAAGCATTTTAATTTTAGTTTTTTTGTTTCTGCTGACAGCAATCAGATCAGGAGTTTATACAATTACTCCAAACAGTGAAATACAAATACATCTCACTGCCTCTATCGCCTCTTCCTTGTCGTTTCCCTGAATTATCCATCTGACATTCATGGTTAGGTATCTTAACACATATTGTTTTCGGAGATGAGGTGTTTGGCCCAACGCTCAACCTCCAACATGGAAGACCAGAAGCTACGTGTCGACACGTCCAGTTTGGGCGGCCCTACTAGGAGCTCGCGCCCCTGCAAACAAGTTCTTGAGGTGATTCAATGAACGCAAACCTTGTCGCCATGTTAACGTTGCAACCGGGGGGGGGGGCGGTAACAATACTGGTACGAAAATTTAAAACCGATTATGTGGATGGGGCATGTAATTACATGTAGACGAGGCAGAAAATGATATAGAATTTTGATTGGGAAATGTCTTGGTAAGGGGACACTGAAAGCTGTAGTTCAACAGACGTGTCAGAGGAACTTGCTGCGTCCATCTGAAGATTGAGGTAGCAGATTCCTCTGAAACGTCGTTAAATATCCACCAGACCATACGGTGACACATCCCAGAAGGCGGTAATCTTTATAGTTACATCGTGAGAAGCTCAGTTCTAGTATTATTACGTGATAGTGTGACGTTAGACGGGGTTTGGATTGGTAATCGGATTTATTGGACACTTTAACACAACTTGTGACTACTCTTTACAAATCACTGTCACACACAGACTACTGTTCTCAGTCTGTTAAAGTCTCCACTAGCCGTTGCTTGGTAGCGGTTTCCAACGGCGGACGTTCCACTTCCTCTGGATTCCCGAACTATCCCCGGCCTCAGCTATCAGCTTCTCAGAGCAACAGCTTACAACGACTGAACTCAGCAATTTTCTAACTCACCAACCAACTTCTCACTTGCTTATAGGATCTCGGCACGGATAACTCAGAAAACGCCGCTCTTCTGTTGCAATGCAATGTTTTCTGTGACAACATACTTGTTTACGGAGCCGTTATTTAACAGATGCTGTTGTACAGTTGCTTATTTCGCGGTCGTTGCCTAGCAACGGGTCTACATGCTGCAGTATCTTAACACACAGACAGATGCAATGACAATGAAACTTTATTTAATTTTTGGATCTTCAAAATACACCATTTAGGGAATCAGTTGTATTTCCTTCATCAGGTGACAAGGTAAAGTATCATAACCCGTTGGGTCCCATGGCAGAACTAATCTCAAACCGTGGAAAATTCCGGAAGGAGGCCAAACCAAGGATTCCTCACTTCCTGTAATATGATGAAGGAAAATGAGCCATTTTCTTTACAACGGACGTATCCAAAATTATCAGTCAAAAAAAAAAGGACTGTCATACAAAATTGTCATAAACCTTCAAGAGATGTCAAATTACGGTGTGGGGTTGCGAACTGTATGTAACCTAGAAGCAGTTTTACGAGGGTATCACGTGGCTGTAGCCGGCGAGGGCTTGCAGATCAATACAACGACGAGGCTGCTCACCCATCTGGAACAGTCTATCCTTGTCGCTTGCCCCAGTTCTGTTCCAGTTCAGCCAACGTAACGAGAGTTCCTACCCAACTGCGGATGGGGAGGGGGGGACGATGCAGCCTGAGAACTCATCAATGACCTGCTTGCTGCATGGCTTGGGTCACGGAGATGAGCAGTTCCCAAAAGCAGCATGTCCCTATATTTTTATCCGCGTCAAAGCTTCCTGCCTCAAAAAATGCCGACGGTACAACAAATCAGAACAGAAATTGACAATTATAAGGTTAAATGGAAAATTCA